GCAGTTATATTGTTTTAAATAAAATTTAAATTGTACTGACCTCTTTAGTATCTTAAAAATGGATTCATTGATGGAAAAAGAAATCTTATTGTATAATTTGTATTAGTGTTTGAAATTATTTTTGTACAATAGAAAGGCAGTATTTTAATACTTTACTTTGGAAAATCGTCTATTATTCAGATGAGTAAATTGGTCAAGTGTTTGAAATTATTTTTATCAACAGTCGCGCATACACTGGTTAGTGTGCTATTATTTTGTAAATGCTTTACCTGTAAAACCATCCAAAATGTGCCATAAACAGCACAAGATAGTCAAGGAAATTACACCATTTTCAACCTCATATATCAAAATTTTCTCAGTCTATGGGACGGGACACCCCTCCCAGGCCCACCCCAATTACATATATTATTCTAAATTCCATAACATCTAAATATTTATGAAAATATTAGTATACAAATATATAAGCGAAAGTGCATAGCCACTCATCAGATGAGCTTTAAAACACATCAATTACAATTTATTGTCACATTAACAAGATATTGGGCTAATTTTCGCATGTTGCATTATTTTTGTCAAAATCTTCCACCAATATGTCAGCCCCCCCCCCCGGAAACCATGTTCTGTATCCGCCCCTGTGAATCGTGCAATATAACGACGTTTCTCACAAACGCGTGCTGTTTTTGCGACTCCGTTGGTATTTATTGCACGGCCGTGCACATATTTTGACAAGACGTCATTTGCGATAAGACGCGCTATGTGTTAGCGTTTCACTATAGGCGCGCCATTGAAAAGTGATTATTTTTCAATTTAAACACCCGATCTTTATTTTGGGTATGTAAAGAATATAAAAATCGTGTAAGTTCATTACTGCATTTATTGAACTCGTTGAATAAAATAACATGATGCTCGCATAAGATAATTTTATTTAACTAGTTCAATAAATTCAGTGTTGAACTTACACTAATTCAATATAATCTATGAACATGGACTGTAAAAGAAAAATTAAGAACAATTTCATTAAGCTATAGGAAACGTTATTACTCTATTTGGGGTACGAATTTTGCTTAAAAAGGTAATATCATGAAATCAATCTCTTTTTATTAGTTTAAAATGTCAAGGGTAACACGAAGTGAAGATATATAAATCTAAATAATTCTATCGCAATTGTCCACAACTTGAGAGAAACATTTTTTCTAATTTGTTCCGATCTGCTTCGCTGCAATACAAAAAAGAAGATAATTTAATTTAGTTAAACATTTTCGGCAAAAAAAAAACATCAGTAGAACATTTAGTAGTGTTTGGTGTGCATTGCCGAAAAGAATGATCGAAAATTCCAATTTTCGAGGTGAACTTTTCCTGAACATTTCCAATCCACTTCACCGGAATACATATGAAACAAATTAACAAATAAATTTGGTTGTACACATTTCAGACAGAAAATTATCGGCTTTTGGACACTCGGAAATATACCTCGTGAAGGCCTCAAAGTTCACGCAGTAGACGGATTTGACGTCCTTCTGTAATTCCAGTTGAAGATATACGTTAGTATGCTATCAAAGGCTAGACAATTGTTCGAAATTATTTCTAAATATTTCCGATCAGCTTCACTCAAAAACAAAAAAGAAAATAATTACAGTTGAGTATACAAAGTGCACTGGTTTGCATAACATATGAACCAGTGATGCACTTCAATGTGTCCCTAAAGTGCACTTTAATGTGCACAGTGTTTTATTTTGTCAGTGCACAGCATTTACCTTTTATCTTAACAAATATCATAATTTATAATTTTCAAAAACAAAAGCCAAATAATAAAAAATAAGAAACAGAATTGATATCTCGGATATGTTACTATTATGTATTATTTCAATATAATGTATTTCTAAAGAACATGTTTTAAATTATCATTTGCTTAATTTTATTCAAAAATTTTACTATTTTGTCCTAGTTTTTTTTCCAATCAATATAATATAACTCTGACTTTTATGTTAAAAATGGTAGAAAAAATAGCAAAGGTAAATTGATTTTCATTATAATTATCAGATTACGTTTGAACTGAAATGCCAAATGGACAGTAGTTTTTTTTAACCGATGATACAAATAAGTTTATGTACTCTTTTCTTTTTAATATTTGTGTTTTCTTTATATAATTTTAGAAATGACTTGGTTTATATGTATTTGTTACTTGTAATAAAAATTCCGCTGTGTTCTAATAATTAATTGTTTTCTGATAATTAATTTTTGGCTCTTAATTTTTATATTTCTTTGTATATCAATCTGATGCTCAAACTGAAATTGACAAGGATGTGCAAGACCTATTATGATAAAAATATGTTTCCGTCTCAAAACCATGAAATGATTGTGATGAACAGTATGCATCTCGTATAATTGTGTTAGCTTGTATTCTATGTGATTTATAACTTTTGGCAGACTCCAAGTGGTCGGAAAGTTAAAGTACAAGCATACAATAAGGATAATAAACACTGACCAACTATACAGCAACTTAACACTAATATCTTATAAGATTGAAGCTAGTGAATTGGTCCATAATGGAAGGTCTGTGATACCATATATAATCATGTTGATAGTATTTAGAATCATACCTGACATCAAGTTACGAGATACCTATATATGGATACCATTTGTAAGTATGAGATACATGATCTGATAAGACATATGACATCTATATTTAGCAGATAATTAGTTGTTCTAGCATAGAATATTACAATAATTCACATAAATGATCATAATAAATCACTTAAAACTATATGAACCTTTTTTTCAAGAAATATTGTATAACAATACAAGAATATATCCAAATGGCACATATCTAATTCTAAATACTTATTGAAAATGTGCTCGTTGTAGACCAATCCACTTTAAATTCTTCCACAGGCATTACTAAATGAAATAAATGTAATTTAATATAAATTATGAGAACCAACATTTCAGTGGCTAATGAAAACATACTGTTGTACACATTCTCAGCAGAAAATATTCAGTTTGCGCAATAAAAAGTATTAAGTAGTGCGGTTTTGATGTTTGGCGGAAAAGTGGATGAAACTTTTAATTTCCGAGATGTACAATTTTCCGAATATTTTCACTCGAATGTAATTATTTTATCATGTGTATATTGTGACTAAAAGCATTGTTAAGCTGAATTGCTAAATAAATGAAGTTGTAATTGTTGTTGTTGTTGTTGCTGCTGCTGCTGCTGTCGTTGTTGTTATTGTTGATTTTAATTACTCTTAAGTAACTAACTGACGTTTATATAATTGACGGTGGTGGGTTGAGCGTGAGGTTATTTAGGGTCACGATTCATTAGTGCTACACATCAAAATAACTTACAAGCATATTTAAAGGAGATAACTTGTCTATCAACCAACAGCAAGTTCCATATACCTAAATGTATGTCCTGGCCTGTTACTACCGGAATGAATATTCATTTGGCTCAACACGGAAATGAAGCTGAGATATCCATGATGGCGTCAAAGGTGGCCGCAAAATCAAATCCCAGAATATTCTAGAATATGCATGTTGGCTAAATTTCTCTTTTCAGTTTCTGTATATCAAAGTCTTTTTTTATAAACATTTCATATTTAGGTTTATTGCAATTGGTCTAATTCTTATCGTCAACTGTATGTTCGTTTAAATACTAGTAAAACACTATTCATGATTTTGTTAAAGCAGCACGCCTCCAGATTCATGCTTTTTGAAAATTTTGAAAATGCATCTGAATGTGTAATATTACGAAGTAACCAAACAGAAGCAATTTACACATTATCAATGGCACTTAAAAACCACGTAAATTGCCAAAAAGTGGTCAAAATATGTATAAATAGCCTTTACCGCGTTAGTAACGTAGTAGAAATATAGTTGTAAATACTGAAAAATCAGTCATTAATCACACGTAATATGTAAAATATTACTTTAATGTTGAAACTATTTACTTTTCCTTACATCTTAGTACATTTTTCACAAGTTTGCTTTTATTGAAATATTTGGACTCATCTGGAGGCATGTTGCTTTAAATACAGCTTCAAAAAATTTACTTCCTATTATCTGTATGAAATTAATGTTTTGTAATTATCTAATGACGTATACAATATGAAGTCGGTCTTATTATACCAATACACCCCAAAACTAGCAAGAAACACCCCAAGACTACAATTTATTGTGTTCATTGGTTTAAAAATACGTGAATTCTTGAAAGACATAATCTAAGGGGAGAAAGTACGCACGACCAATGGTTTTTGTAAACGGAGTTATCTCCCTGAGGCAAGAATACGAACCGCTCAAGCCGGTGGTAAGGGAATGAGGGATATGTTGCACTTTTTCATTATCCCTCATGTAAAACTCAATCAAACCGAGTCTACAATGTTCATGTTATTTCGTTGTGATTAATGCTTCCGAGTGATCGCCCTTCTTCGAGATTTCTATACTACTCTTTACAACAGCAGGTGTCAAGTGTCGTGTGGCAGCTGAACAAGTTGCCCCGTACTTCATTTCAGTGTTGTTATATTTTCTGGTTCTTCGGGATCATTGATTCCAATACTTTGCGAGAGAGCACCCTTCATCTAGTTTTTTTTTCGAAATTGTACGTTACTTAAATAACAAATGAATATTTGAAGCTTCATAACAGAATATTATATTTTAAAATAACAGACTGTTGAATTAACAGCACAGTATGGCTGGTTTCCATCTGAAAATGTTTGGCACCATAGTTTGCAAACTATTCGTCTGACAAAGTAAATATGTTATGTAATATCTCTGATGCATATCATCTGATTATTTCAAAGATATTAAAATATTTCTCATTTTCATAGCCAGACTTTTAAACAGTAATCATTCAATTTTAGTAATTTGATAACTGAAACCCTGTAAATATTGATAGATACAGCATACAATGTCCATCATTTATAAACTTAATTAAGGCTACAAAATAAAGTAAACAACACATATTACGTTTGAATAGAATATTTTAATCGCAATGTTTAATAGTTAAATTCCAAAATTCTTTTATCTCTGTTCATCTATTGTCCTTTATCTGTAGAATTATCTGAAATAAAAAATAAATTAATAAATCGTAAGAAATCTGCGATTGTTGTTTACACATTACCATATACTTTAAGCGAATGATAAATGAATATAATGCATACGCTACACGTAAATAAAATAAGTCATAAGGTTTTCAGTAAAAAAATAGTTCATCAAATAATGAAAAATTATATACAGCAGGTCTCGTGTTTCAATAAGAATAAAGTTTTGTTGTAAGATAGTATTTATTAGTTACCTTGAATGAATACCACTTCTGCAATAGACAGACAGTATTCCAAATGGCGAATCATCGTCATCGTCATCAATGATTACTTCAAGTTCTTCAGTTTGAACCTCAACTTGTTTACTGTCGTTCTTCTCCATTGTCTCAACATTATCAAAGAAGACTTTTCCGGGTGTATCATCATGTTTTGCTGGCTTCAATTTGTGACTGTCCAAATCTTTTACGGCAGGATACTTGGTGTTCAAATGCGATGATGTGATCGCCACATTACCAAAGCAGTCGTTTTCGAATAAATCAACGTGTTTGACTGGCTTTAATTTATAACTGTCCAAATCTTTTACGTCAGGATGTTTTGTGTTCAAATACGATGATATTGTTATCATGTCCATATCTGTGGTCGTAGCTGTCAGAGGTACCCATGGCATTACACCTTCTCTTCCAAAATAGAGTATAGGAGTAAAATATAAACCAAATATAGACAGTGTTCTTGTGCATGGAACTTTATTGTAACGCAAGGCGAGGCTGAATATTCGTTTAAAGTCAGAAGCCTTGGAGTTTTTGGTGTCCAGTGTCATTGGTCGTTTTGTCACGGACTTTTGTGTGGTTTCACGACACCTGTTAACAGGAGGATGCTCCCATTTACTATTGTGATCGCCAAATTTATATTTTGGTTGGCTCATTAGAACAGACAGTTCTGCCGGTTTGAATTTCACTTCATAGAACTCTTTGTATATTTGCTTTCTATTTAAACCAATAAATGGAGATGGTGCAAGTAGATATGGTAGTAAACAGCCATTGATCAGCTTCTTTTGTTTCAAAGAAAAGAAATAAGCATTGCTCGTATGTCTCTTTTGGAGTAAACTTTGCATGGGCTTTATGTCGTCTGCTTTTGTTTGTTTTATCAGCTTCTTGAATGTTGGATCACCAGAAAGGTGAGATGTTGAAAAGGATGAAATTTCGCTGCAGTGAATAACATTAGTTTGCATCTGGGAAATTAAAATTTCAGATTCTTCGTGTTTCGCTTGTTGATCATCATCATCAACTTCTTCTTCTTCATCATCATCATCATCATCATCATCATCATCATCATCATTATCATCAAGACTTTCTTCATGAACTGGACTGGTTTGAGCTGGTGTGTCCACTGAGTATTTCACGCTCACTTTCGGGTTTTCTTGATGACGAAGGAAAGCATCAACACTGTTATAAAAAGCTTTGTATGAACTCTTTACCTTGGGGGCTTGTCTTCTAGCAAACTTTTCTTCCTTAAACTGCTTTTTTAAATTCTCAATGAGGTTGTTCATCCGACTTTCTATCGCAGATTGATCTAGTATTTCTGGTCGACTCCATTCAAAATTCGCCTCGTCTTCTTCTTTTCTCTTACTCCTTCTCATATCAAGAATGCTAGTGAATCTGTTGGAGAACTCTGAATTAATCTCCATTTCTGTGTTCATGTTTGTACCTTAAATATATTGAAACAATGCTTGTATATTAGAATCTTTTCTCATCTTCAAATAATATTAATGTTGAAATACAAAACAAAAGTGTCATCTTTAATGATAATAGCGAAATATATAGCATTAACATTTTTATTACCCTTGCAAACCTTAAATTATAATAATGTATGCTATCCATCAGTTCATTCACATGAATAATCATAAGTACTCCTAAATATCAAATTATATAATGAAAAGATAATTCAAAGATAAATGTCAAGTAAAATACTCAGAAAATGTTTAAATAAGAAGACTGTATGAAATGATGCCATTTTTTTTCAGATAGCATAAATACTGTGTAAGTAAACAATTATCGCGATATTTTAGTTAAAGAAATTACACAAGAAGTTTAGATCTATCTAATATAAAAGGAAAAATCTGGAATTATCGCAAAATAATAATAATAGTAATAATAATAATTAATAATAATGATAATAATTATAGTAATAATAATAATAATAACAATTAATAAATAATAATAATAATTATAATAATAATAAATAATAATAATGATAATAAATAATAATAATAATAAATAATAATAATAAATAATGATGATGATGATGATGATGATGATGGAAATTCACATTTAGATATTACAACCATAATTGGGAGGCTCTCTGTCAGGAAATATAAATAAATAATACTAGTGATAAGCCTTTTAGTTATAATAATGCCTTTTCTGTCAATTCTACAATTGTCATTTAACTTACAAAACATGAATATGAAATTAAAAGCATCAACTAGGTCTAATATTAAATAATTATTACCTTCATCCATTTAAAACGATATATATCTTTCCTTTTTTACGCTGTATAATTTAGATAGCTTTCCTCTCGTAATGTGGCTTTTTGTGTCTATAGCGATAACGTTAATTTTAACGTCAAAATATGTGACGTCGTTAACGTTAGACCGCTTAAGAGATTAGGAAAAATAAAATCAAACGGCCATATTTTATACAGAATGCGCTTATTAGTCGTCTTCATGTTTTCAATTGAAAGTTGCAACCCGTAATAAGTTGATAATCACACTTGATATCATATAAGCTGCATTCACTGTATATTAATGCTTCACTATCTATTGAAGTGAAGTAGTTGCTACAAGATTTCCCTATATTGAACGTACAAGGCCACCGGAAAGTTGAACATATACATGTAGTATGTGCATGGTATTGACAAGAGTGCCATGATGACCCTGGATCACTCACCTGAGAAACATTACAAGTCAAAAGCTAAGGTCTGTACACTGTAATTTCTGTGAAGACGATTCTTAAAGATTTCGTTTTTAATGTCTATTTGACCCACTAAATGCATATATCAGGCAGGAACTATTTATATAATTTTGTCGATGGTTACCTAAGAACTATTCATGTGAAGTTTGGTCAAAATGCAACTAGTGGTTTAGTAGAAATTGTGGACAACAACAAACGACAGACACAATGCCATCACAAAAGCTCATCTATGAGCGCTGTATGCTCAGACAAGCAAAAAGAAAAAAATGTGGCATAACAAATCATATTACTGGAATAAGAGCTCAAAACAATTTTCCAACAGATTTTATTTTTTGTGTCGCCAAGATATCATAATTTTCTATAGAACATTAAAACGAAGAATCTAGGATCAAATTGAGCAGTGAATTGTATCCTGTATGGTTAAACTAGCTTATTCATAATACATGTAGTAATTAAACATTTACCTATAATTGTAAAGTTGTTTCTATTTTAAATGGGATAGTTCAGCCACATGGCCAATTCTCAGTGCTCGACAGTAAAAAAAGGGGCATAACACTGTAAAAATGTTTTTCAAAATTATGGGACCTGTGCCCATCAGCTTTCATATCACATAATCACAGAGAATAAAGATGAAAAACTTCAACAAATTCCCTTTAGTAGTTTCTTGAGAGAGCAACCTGCACAAAAACCTGGCCAAATTCAAGCTGATAGATAAATATGATACAAGCAAAAAGAACTGGTAACAAACAAATAAAACATTAAACACAATTTATTTCGATAGAAATTTATTTTCTTTTTACGTAATTCTTTTTTCTTTTTTTTACAATATAGATCTTTCCATTTCAGCAACTAGTCATATGGCATAAACCATAAACCAATTTTTACTAACATTGCAAAATAAATTAAAACGTCACTGCAAATATCATTTTCCTCTGTTCATAAGCAGTTTCTCAAGGTTGAGCTAAAATCACTTTGGTTATATATAAAACAAGTGGACACCGAAATCTTGTATATCTTTTATATTTCTTTTTTTTATTTGCTCATATTTATTTACTATCTTTAAGAAATATAAAAGCGCTATGTTAACCAAGTACCAAAAATGGCTCGATCTTAGATATTGATAAAAATCTAAAAAAGCGTCAATTTGATAGGTAGTTGGTAGTTGGATATTCGAATAATCACTACCTACTAGCTGGTAGTCGGTTATTCTTAATCTCCCACTACCTACCGGCAGGTAGTTGGTAATTCGAGTTTTGCATGTTTCCCTTAAAAAAAACAACAACAAAAAAAAAACAAAAAACAACAACAACAAAAAACAACAAAAATAAACAGTAAGAATTTTTCCGGATTAAATATAATGGATAGATGTGTTTTTCAACATTGAAACACATTGTCTCACTATATCCACCAGCGGAATCAGTTGGCTGTAGTACAATATGCTGAACAGATAAACTTATAGTAGGATCTGCTGTTAAGTTAATCTTAAACTGAAAATTGTTGACCACTTATATATAGAAAAAAATATGTGTTGACGTAAATTTCTAATTACACGTATCTTTATTTACAATGTTAGTAATATAATAAATTATACATCTTACAAAACAATAAAACCACTGATGACGACCTATGAATATAATTTGTTTGTCTTTTAGTAATTAACAATGATTTCAATTTGTTTGCATCTTTTAAATGTCAACATAAGATCATTTTCATCTGAAATATTTCTATTACATTGTATATTAAAGTTTCACACAATTTATTACATTTTCCGTCTATGTATAACTCTTTCAATATTTATATATAAAATGATTCTTATTATTAATTTATGATTTCATTTACACATTATTAGTATAGAGAAAAGAAAGAAATTAAAAATAATAAATAGGAAAAGAAAAAAACAAGAAGAAGAAAATTTATTGACAAAAGTAAAATTATCCCATATTCTATACCGTCAGCTTATTCGCCAGCAGTATAGAACCGTCCACCAGAAGGCGATAGTCGACACTGCGATAACGCGATGACGACAGTGCGACAGTGCGATGACGACAATGCGACAGTGCGATGACGACAATACGATAGTGCGATGACGACAGTGCGATGGCGACAGTGCGAAAACACTATCGCTCTGTCGTCATCGTACTATCGCGTTATCGCATTGTCGTCATCGCACTGTCGTATTGTCGTCATGGCACTGTCGCACTATCGCATTGTCGCCCTCTGTATTTTAACGTATAACCACGATGGCCCTTACGGTATTCCGTAATTATAAGATTGTAGTGAACTGGTACATAATGGAAGGTCTGTGATACCATAAATAATCATGTTGGTAGTATTTGGTATCATACTTGACATCAAGTTACGAGAGAACTATATGAGGCGCGCCATGACAAAACCAACATAATGCGTTTGCGACCAGCATGGATCCAGACCAGCCTACGCATCAGCGCAGTCTGATCAGGATGCATGCTGTTCGCTTACAAACCCCATTACAAGAAGAGAAATTGATAGCAAACAGCATGGATCTTGATCAGACTGTGCAGATGCGTAGGCTTGTCTGGGCTGGTTTGGACGCAACGCATTATGTTTGTTTTGTCATGGCGCGGCTCATATATGCATACGTAGGTATGAAATACATGATGTGATATGACATTATGATATCTATATATAGCAGATAATTACTTGTTCTAGATTAGAATATTACAATGATTCACATAAATGATCATACTAAATCACTTAAAACAATATAAACATTTTTTAAGACATATCTTATAACAATACAAGAATGTATCCAAATGGCACATTTCTATTGTTTTTATCAATTTTCTAAATACTTATGAAAAATGTGCTCATTGAAGACCAATCCACTTTAAATTCTTCCACAGGCATTATTAAATAAGTAAATAGAGTAAAAGTCGTGTTTAATCGTACTAGACCTTACTTGGAACCGTACAACAATCGTATGTATTCGTCTGCAAACCGTGTTCAAACCTAGTTGACCGAGTATGTACGTGCTTTATTCGTACACACTCGTGCTACATTCGAGTCTTACTCGAACAAACCTAGCACAACCCCAAGCACGGTTGGAGCTAAATACCAGTGTATAACTGATCAAGTATACCGTATGGAAACCGTGTGCCCAACCGTGTTCTGTGTAAGACGGGCTTTACTGGATATACACGGTGTAGGTGGCCAACTCGAAGATGTCTACAGATAAAGAAAGACAACTGTCACATGTATCAAAATATAGATTCTTTCAAATGAATGAAGTTGAATGGAGGTCTATCAACCAACAGCAAGTTTCAAAATGTATGTCCTGGCCTGTATCTACTGGAATGAATATTCCTTTGGCTCAACATGGAAATGAAGCTGAGATATCCATGATGGCGACAAAGGTGGCCCCTAAATATTCTAGAATATACATGTTGGCTAAGTTTTCTTTTCAGTTTTGTATATCAAAGTTTTTTTATCAACATTTCTTATTTAGGTTTATTGCAAAATTGGTCTAATTCTTATCGTCAACTGTACAACACTATTCATGATTTTGTTAATTACAGCTTCCAACAATTTACTTCACATTATTGTATTTTACCATATCTGTATAAAATTTATGTTTTATAATTATCTAATGACGTATACAATATGAAATCGGCCTTATTATCCCAATACACCCCAAAACTACCAAGAAACACCCCAAGACTACAATTTATCGTGTTCATTGGTTTAAAAATACGTGAATTCTTGAATGACATAATCTAAGGGGAGAAAGTACGCACGACCAATGTTTTTCTTGTAAACGGAGTTATGTCCCTGAGGCAAGAATAAGAACCGGTCAAGCCGATGGTATTGGTGTGCGGAAAATGTTGCACTTTTTCATTATCCCTCATGTACAAACTCAATCAAACCGAGTCTGCAAAATTCATGTTATTTTGTTGTGATTAATGCATCCGAAGGGATCACCCTTCTTCAAGATTTCTATACTACACAACACAACAGCAGGTGTCAAGTGTCGTGTGGTAGCTGTAAAAGTTGCCCGTACTTCATTTCAGTGTTGTTATATCTTCTGGTCCTTCGGGATCATTGATTCTACTTCTTTGCGAGGGAGCACCCTTCGTCCTGTTTTTTTTTTCGAAATTGTACGTTACTTACATAATAGTTTGAATATTTGAGACTTCATAATAGAATATTATATTTTAGAATAACAGACCGTTGAACCAACAGCACAATATGTCTGGTTTCCATTTGAAAAAGTTTTTGCATCATAGTTTGCAAACAAATCGTCTGATAAAGTAAATACGTTATGTAATATCTCTGATACACATCTGATTATTTCTAAGATATATTTCTCATTTTCATAGCCAGACTTTTAAACTGTAATCATTCAATTTTAGTATTTTGATAACTGAAAACCCTGTAAATATTGATATAGACATAGCATACAATGTCCATCATCTATGAACTTAATTAAGGCTAAAAATAAAGTAAACAACACAAATTACGTTTGAATATAAGATTTTAATCGCAATGTTAAATAGTTAAATTCCAAAAATTCTTTTATCTCTGTTCATCTATTGTCCTTTATCTGTAGAATTATCTGAAATACAAAATAAATTAATAAATCGTAAGAAGTCTGCGATTGTTATTCACACATTACTATTGGCTTTAAGCGAATGATAATAACCAGTAATGAACTTACACGAATTTAATATTCTATTTATCACATACCCAAAATAAAGACCGTTTAAAGGAAAATAAGAGTCGTTTTTTTCATTGACGCGCCTATAGTATAACGCTAACATTTAGCGCGTCTTTACACTATGTTTGCACGTATAAAGATTATGACTTCACGTCAAAATATATGCACGCCGTGCAATACCATATTTATGGAGTCACAAAATCGGACGGGTGTGTGATAAATGATTATTATGCATACGCTACACGTAAATAAAATAAGTCAAAAGGTTTTCAGTGAAAAATAGTTCATCAAATAATGAAAAATTATATACAGCAGGTCTCATGTTTCATAAAGAATAAAGTTTTGTTTTAAGATAGTATTTATTAGTTACCTTGAATGAATTCCACTTCTGCAATAGACAGACAGTATCCCAAATGGCGAATCATCGTCATCGTCATCAATGATTACTTCAAGTTCTTCAGTTTGAACCTCAACTTGTTTACTTTCGTTCTCCTCCATTGTCTCAAAATTATCAAAGAAGACTTTACCGGGTGTACCATCATGTTTAGCTGGCTTTAATTTGTGACTGTCCAAATATTTTACAGCAGGATACTTGGTGTTCAAATGCGATGATGTGATCGCCAGATTACCAAAGCAGTCGTTTTCGAATAAATTAACGTGTTTGACTGGCTTTAATTTAAAACTGTCCAAATCTTTTACGTCAGGATGTTTTGTGTTCAAATACAATGATATTGTTATCATGTCCATATCTGTGGGCGTAGCTGTCAGAGGTACCCATGGCATTACACATTCTCTTCCAAAATAGAGTATAGGAGTAAAATATAAACCAAATATAGACAGTGTTCTTGTGCATGGAACTTTATTGTAACGCAAGGCGAGGCTGAATATTCGTTTAAAGTCAGAAGCCTTGGAGTTTTTGGTGTCCAGTGTCATTGGTCTTTTTGTCACGGACTTTTGTGTGGTTTCACGACACCTGTTAACAGGGACATGCTCCCATTTACTATTGTGATCGCCAAATTTATATTTTGGTTGGCTCATTAGAACAGACAGTTCTGCCGATTTGAATTTCACTTCATAGAACTCTTTGTATATTTGCTTTCTATTTAAACCAATAAATGGAGATGGTGCAAGTAGATATGGTAGTAAACAGCCATTGATCAACTTCTTTTGTTTCAAAGAAAAGAAATACGCATTGCTCGTATGTCTCTTTTGGAATAAACTTTGCATGGGCTTTATGTCGTCTGCTTTTGTTTGTGTTACCAGCTTCTTGATTGTTGGCTCACCAGAAAAGCGAGATGTTGAAAAGGAAGAAGTTTCGCTGCAGTGAATGGTTTTGGAATCACGCGAAATAACATTAGATTGCATCTGGGAAATTAAAATTTCATATACTTTGTGTTTCGCTTGTTGGCCATCATCATCATCAGCAGCAGCAGCAGCAGCATCAGCAGCATCAGCATCATCATCATCATCATCATCATTATCATCAAGACTTTCTTCATGAACTGGGCTGGTTTGAGATGGTGTGTCCACTGAGTATTTTACGCTGACTTTCGGGATTTCTTGATGACGAAGGAAAGCGTCAACACTATTACAAAAAGATTTGTATGCATTGCTGATCTTGGGAGCTTGTCTTCTAGCTAACTTTTCTTCCTTAAACTGCTTTTTTAAATTCTCAATGATGTTGTTCATCCGATTTTCTATCGCAGATTTATCTGGTATCTCTGGTCGACTCCATTCAATATTCGCCTCGTCTTCTTCTTTTCTCTTAATCCTTCTCATATCAAGAATGCTAGTGAATTTGTTGGACAACTCTGACTCTATCTCTATTTCTGTGTTCATGTTCGTACCTTTAATATAATGAAACAATGCTTGTATATTAAAATCTTTTCTCATCTTCAAATAATATTAATGTTGAAATACAAAACATATTGTCAGCTTTAATTATAATAGCGAAATAATATATAACATTAACATCTTTATTACCCTTGCAATCCTTAAATTATGATAATGTTTGCTACACATCAGTTCATTAATTCATTCATTCACATAAATAATAATAAGTACAGTAAGTACTCATAAATATCAAATTATATAATGAAAAGATAATTCAAAGATAACTGTCAAGTAAATTTAAAATACTCAGAACATGTATAAAATAAGAAGACTATATGAAATGATGTCATTTTTTTTCAAATAGCATAAATACTGTGTAAGTAAACAATTATCGCGATATTTTAGTTAAAGAAATTAAACAAGAAGTTTAGATCTATCTAATATAAAAGGAAAAATCTGGAATTATCGCAAAATAATAATAATAATAATAATAATAATAATTAATAATACTAATAATAATAATAATAACAATAATAATAATAATTAATAATAATTAATAAATAATAAAAATGATAATAATAAGAATAGATAATAATAATAATAATAATAATAATAATTTATTATAATAATAATAATAATAATAAATAATAATTAATAATAATAATAATAAATGATAATAATGATGATGATGATGATGATGATGATGATAGAAATTCACATCTAGATAGTACAACCATAATTGGGAGGCTCTCTGTCAGTAAATATAAATAAATAATACCATAGTGATAAGCCTTTTAGTTATAATAATGCTTTTTCTGTCAATTCTACAATTGTCATTTAACTTACAAAACATGAATATGAAATTAACAACATCAATTAGGACTAATATTAAATAATTATTACATTCATCCATTTAAAACGATATATATCTTTCCTTTTTTACGCTGTATAATTTAGATAGCTTTCCTCTCTTTAATGTCGCTTCTTGTGTCTATAGCGATAACGTTAATTTTAACGTCATAATATGTGACGTCGTTAAAGTAAGACCGCTTAAGAGATTGGAGAAAATAAAAACAAACGGCCATATTTTATACAGAATGCGCTTATTATAGTATGTCCCATTAAAAATGGAAATGAACTTTTGCCAGGTATGAATTAACAAAACGAGGTTGAATAAAAATTAAACTATTTTTGTAGACTAAAAAAAAGTCACCCTCGAGATTTTTCAGGATTTTTCTCTAATTAAAGTGTCTACAGTACTTTTCTTGTGAAGGCAAATTTTGATTTCCCTATGATAAATCTCTGTTGTTTATTTTCCGTAGCCATTGCCAAAGTACTCTTCATTTGAAGATGAACGGGAGAAAGAACGTGTCATGTTTCTAAAATATACATGAGGTTCTCGGGGTCGTTTCATGATTATTTTACAAAGCTGGATCGACAAGATGTAACAGTTTAGTTGGAAACTTTTAAAAAATGAAAAATAAGCAACAAGAACACCGAGTAACATAGAGTAGATCTAGAAATTGCACTTACTTTTAAGCTGAATACAATCCCTATGCATTTCGAAATTGATCTTTATAAACGTCACGAAAAATTCGCATTCTGAAGATTCCTTCATTGCCATTTCTATCCAGTTCCGTAGCTCCCATTTTTTTAGTTCAAAACGCCTGAATGACATTATTCCTACGCTTATGATGATCCAGATGTTTTAAACTGTTAATCCGTCTCGTTCAATTTGTGGAGATATCTGGGTTAGCAAATGAAATATGTAAATGAAACACATCATGTAATTCAGTATGTTCCAAATCCATAATTCAAGAACGGCCCATCATTTTAGTTGTCAACATCACAATGTTTATAACTCTTGAAAATGGATTCCTGGCGAAAATACTCTATTACGTCAACAACAAATTACGAAATACATGACGTAACAAAACTGCCTCGCGCTTTTTATGGATGATTCCAGTTGCGGCATTGACAGAGGGCGGTTAGGCATATGTAACCTCATAGCGTTGAGATAAATTTGTCCTGATGGAATTTAAAATAATTTTTGTACAGTATCACCCAGATTTTGCAACTTTGCTGTTAAAATTACACCTTCAATTCAAATATTATAATAAAACATTTAAATATTTTAACACACTTATTGACATGAATCTATAACAGTGCAATACTTCTTCCATTAATTACATATAACCTTCGTTTTGATTTTATGTTTTTAAACTATTTTATATATTTCTCAGAAATGACTTCCCTATATATTATCTCGTTATTCAAGACTTCTGTAAATCCTACTCTTTTAGCTACAAAATATACAATAGAATCTACCCGGTATCTTTTCTCCCGCGAAAAATATGCTATTTTTTTTTTCACTGAATATTTTCAAATTTAAGGAAGGCTAAAATTATTGAGGACGTCACTCGGTGTTTCTCTTTGACTCGATCTCCCCTTCATATTAACATAATATGTAACACTTTGTGTCTGCACGAACATCGCACCCGAAATAAGAAGGGTAACATATTTTTGTATCCCATCAAACCTGGTCAATTTAATTATTTTTGAATAGACGTGATACATACTAATGGACAGAATTCAGACAACTACAGAATTATGTAGCTAAGAACCATTTTTACAGTCTTCTAGCTAGTGTTCCCGTTCCCCTTCGACGCGTTGCGGTATTCAAGATACGCGCTTGATTGAAAAGCTATCTAATTAAATCACTTCATTGCTCTTTTTCTCTTAAAAAGAATATAAAATACGACAGTATATCATGGTAATTATATAAATCTTTGTGTGTTAGAATTTATAAAGCGGTTACTGATATTTTCACTTCAAATGATTTAATGGTTTGCTAGTAAAATTGCCTTTTTGACACCAACTTTGTTCTCATTTTCTTTTTAATGATAACATTTAGCTATTGATGAGTAAGTAAATAAGAATAATCAAATTTTTATAATTACCGAGTACATTTTACGCTAATCTTGAGACGAACCCTAAATGACGTCTATATATGGGCGCCGCCATTTTGAGATGGACGTCACGTCAGGTTACAATGTAAGTGAACGGGAAAAATTATAATTTTAACATTTTGACCATATTACTGACTTTATGAAAAAAATGAAAAACATGCCTAGAGATATTAACGTCAGGGATACATGACATTAATTTAAATGATTTTACTATTGTATTAAATAAAAAATGGAATATTCAAATTTAATGGGACAGACTATATAGTCGTCTTCATGTTTTCAATTGAAAGTTGCAACCCGTAATAAGTTGATAATCACACTTGATATCATCTAAGCTGCATTCGCTGTATAGTCATTAATGCTTCACTATCTATTTAAGTGAAGTAGTTGCTACAATATTGAACGTACAAGGCCACCGGAAAGTTGAACATATAGTATGTGCATGGTATTGACAAGAGTGTCATGAAGATCCTGGACCACTCACCTGAGAAACATTGTTAAAAGTTCGGAAGTCTTCCATGCAGAAGTAAGTAATTAGGTCACATTAGATGTGGTTTCACCCAACCTGCATAATTTCTAAAAATATTTTGAAAATGTCCATCAGATTATGCAATTTTGACACAAGAAAAGTTAAAGAAATTTCACACAAGAAGACTTCAATGTATCATTCCATAAAGTGTATATAAACAGGGTCCATTTTGAACCCAGTGGCATGATTTATACCACTTTTGTAGAGGACAATAAGGTGGTGATTTAGTAGACAAGCACAAGGTGATGCTACATGCCAAAATCTAAGGTCTGTACACTGTAATTTCTGCGGAGAAGATTTTTAAAGATTTTGTTTTTAATGTCTATTTGACCCACTAAATGCATATATCAGGCAGGAACAATTTATATAATTTTGTAGATGGTTACCTAAGAACTATTCTTGTGAAGTTTGGTCAAAATCCAACAAGTGGTTTAGTAGAAATTGTGGACAACAACAAACGACAGACACAATGCCATCACAAAAGCTCATCTATGAGCGCTGTATGCTCCGATAAGCAAAAAGAAAAAAAAAAAGTGGCATAACAAATCATATTACTGGAATAAGAGCTCAAAACTATTTTCCAACAGATTTTACTTTTTGTGTCGCCAAGATATTATAATTTTCTATAGAACATTAAAACGAAGAGTCTAGGATCAAATTGAGCAGTGAATTGTATCCTGTATGGTTAAACTAGCTTATTCATAATACATGTAGTAATTAAACATTTACCTATAATTGTAAAGTTGTTTCTATTTTAAATAGGATAGTTCAGCCACATGGCCAATTCTCAGTGCTCGACAGTAAGAAAAGGGGCATAACTCTATACAAATGTTACTCAGAGTTATGGGACCTGTGCCCATCAGCTTTCATATTATATAATCACAGAGAATAAAGAAGAAAAACTTCAACAAAAAGTCCCTTTAGTAGTTTTTTGAGAGAACAACCTGCACAAAAACCTGGCCAAATTCAAGCTGATAGATAAATATAATACAAGCAAAAAGAACTGGTAACAAACCAATAAAACATAAATTTATTTCGATAGAAATTTATTTTCTTTTTACGTAATTCTTTTCTCTTTTTTTACAATATAGATCTTTCCATTTCAGCAACTAGTCATTTCCACAAATTACTTTCATAGATTATGTTACAAGAACATATACTATAGTATGGTATTTCATAACTTAATAAAAAAATACTTAATTAATACTTTAGTCAACTTTTTAATTTGAAAAACTAAATCTATTTCAATAATGGTATAAAAATGGCAAAATTTTCTGAAAAACTATCAAATATTCTTTAAAGCATTTGAGCTAAACCTGGCTGAGCAGTGATTAGACTATAATGTGATAAACAGAATTTTTATATGATAAACAGAATTTTATACATGATAAATATGAGATTTTGTATTATACGGTATAAAAGAGTATAACATGATAAATAAGAATGTAAGACAAACTTTTACGAAAGATGTTCAAAAAGCATTTTTAATCTAGTCAAGGTAAGAATATTTCAGGCACCAACAACTTTGGCATTTACAGGAAACTTGGAGAATTTTTAAGGTGGTACATTTTTCTCTAAAACTAAGTAAAATCAGGATAACAGAAAAGATCCAAAATGACGGGAATCTTTTTTTTCTCTTTTTTTTTCTCACTACGAACTATTTTTAAAAGTTTAAAAAGTTTAGATAAAAACCTGTACATGTACCACTATCGACAGCATATGAAAACCATCTGAACATCAAACGCTTTAAAGAATATTTGACTGAACTGGTATTAGTTATCGAGCAAAACTTAAAAAGAAGGTGTGATCACAGTTAACAAGACAAAGACCTGTGAAATGAGCGTAGCTTTAACACAGGCTGTAAATTAATTCATACCTCTTCCACTTGAGAGCACAGAAAAAAGTTTAAACGAGATGGCCTGGTGGTAGTGAATTTTAAAATCAGTAGCTGAACTTAAAACTTTCTTAGGATATTTCCTCTACAGAATTTACAAAATTGTTAAAATGCGGAGGGAAAAAATGCTACAGAAATTATATTAGGCCGAAGTCAAAAAAAAATTTAATTACTGATCAAGAACTCAACTTTGAAACATATCTGTGCAGTCTGATCAAGATCTGTTCTATTGGCTGACCAACCTATTTTTTTGTATCTTGATATCCCCAAAAAAGGATAATGAACAGGAAGCTGGGGAAGTCCATTCAAGATATTTGCCAGGTTAAGGGTTCGTGTTAATAATCTTTTATTTACCTCTAAGGGGAAAGAACTATCTCTACTTTTTGGTAGCATTTCTAGAATTGTCCGACTGAAGTATTTTATTTCTTTCTTCTTTTTTTTTGAAATAAACGTATTTCTTTTCTTGTAACAGTACAGCCATTATACGCAGCGATTTGTTGAAATTTGTTTGTGGTAATTTATTGTTAAGATTTAGATTACAAAGATTACGCGAAGGGCGACAATCGTCTAAATAATAAAAACCCCTAAAGCGACTAGTCTACGGGTAAAGAGTTTGGCTGGTGAAAGGATATATAATTTAACCAAAGCGCGGTATAGGCTTAACTCACAAAACCCAACTTCGAAGCACTATCTAATATCTTAAAGCATAGGTCACATGCCAAATTTTTTGAGAAATGTCTCTGTATTGATGAATTTTAAATAATCGCGAATTAGTCAGTATGCTCTAAACTCACTTGTTTGACGTGATATAAAGGTCTTTTAGGTCATATTCGATTCCTTCCGCAGAAAAGGTCCTTTTCGGTGTATTAAGTTTTACGATATTTAGTGTTCTTTGGCCTATCGTAGGGATGTACTATTCTCCGGTCCGGTCGCTTCCGGTCTCCGGTCTCTCCCGGTCTATTTTGACCGGAATTTATGGGAGACCGGCGAATAGTATCATATTCACTAGCCCGGTCAGTGCTGGTCTTCTAAACATAATTAGATCTTTCTAGATGAAAAATATGTTGATATAAGATTTTTTTCGTATACAATGTATTTGGTTTCAAATTAATTGTTTTTATTATGTATTTTGTGTTGTTTTAAGTATATATATTCATCAAAGATAAAAATGTAAAAGAGTATTAATTACGGGAAATGACATTAAATATTTTATTTGAGCAAAAAATATTATAAATAAAAAAAAAATGTTAATTACGGGGAAGTCTGTTAATTGGTTAATTATAAAGCGGTTTACAAAAGTATTTTTTTCCACTAATTAATAATTAAATAAGTGCAGCATCAATATTATAACGACTAATAGACCAAAGAAAAAATAATCCGGCCTGTAAATAGCGTACATTGCAAATGATGAAAATATCTAAAAAGATTAATTTTTCAAATAAAAGAATTAAACAATGAAATGGAAATTAAATAGTATTTTTCTATTATTACCTTCATTGAGATCAAACAGTGAAACAAATAAAATAGATGTAAACGCATATTGATTGAATTGAAAAGAAATACGTAGAATTTGAAATATGTATGATTTTGATGCTCTTGTTTTTGTTGTTATTCTTGTTGTATTGCATGGTATTGTTAATTGTAATTAAATATTTCGTTATATGAATAAAACATTATCATTATCACGTTAGATTGCGATTTTTTTACATTTTGTAAATGATAAAATACATGCATAATGTAACATTTTAATTTATACTTATAATTGTTTTTTTTTTTATATTCATCAACGTAATATCGTGATTATCAATGACAACGGACATATACAATCATTTATAACATATTTGTGTAGTTGTTAACGCATGATCAACACCACACTTGTTTATCGTCCCTTATTATGTAATTGCTATAAGCGAAGTCCCCATCATTAAATATCTTAAGATATCTGTCTCACACCTGATAAAAATATGACACTGATTAAATTACCATGTTGATCATGTTTAGCATACTTTTATTTTATTATGCAGTTATTGTAATATCTGTTTTAATTTGTCTTTTTCTTCATCTTTTATGAAAATATTTTCCTTTTTGTGTTATATGTGTTATTTTACTACTGACATATTACGTTAATCATTTTTTTTATTTAATTGATTTTAAAAAATCAATTGTCATATTGACCGACGATTATGAAAATTATCTAAAATTAACTGGAAAAAAATCAAGTAAATTATGATTAATCTTTCAATATATTATATTCATTATTCTTAAACCATTTATTTATTTATTTTTTTTAAAAATATATCAATCAATTAAATAATTCATAAAATCTACTGTGTAACTTAGAATCTCTTCACTAAACGCGAATAGCAAATTAAATAAAATGTTTCATTAATACCATAAAAAATGTACCTTTTTATTCAATTATTGTATGTATTATTGTTTTTATCATGATACATAAATAAAATGAAAATGCTATTGTTATTTGTAGAATTGAAAGTTTATGTAAAGTAATAATAATAATAAATAAACTTGACAGATGATCTGTGTTAATTAATCATTGTAACTAAACTAAATGACAAACATTCAATTTTGAAAAAAAAAAAATATTTATTTGTTACGATATCAAATAAAATATCTGCTCCAAAACCGGGAGAGACCGGGCAATAAACGTGTGATACTATTCGCCGGTCTCAAGTAAATTCCGGTCAAAATAGACCGGGAGAGACCGGGAATTACCGATAGGAGACCGGAGAATAGTACATCCCCCTATCGTAGAACAACAACAACAACAAAACACACGGGATGATTGATAAATGAAGAGGTAAATATTAAAAACAATCGATGTTTACGATTGTCATTCGCATTTGAAGGTTAAGACAAGAAGATTGGTTTGTTCCAAGACGATACTTACTGCAAACTGTTTACTTTACGTTTTTATACGATTTGAATACATCTTTTAGATATATTTCTCTACGATTTCGTCATCTTTACGGACATGTTTTTAATTTACGGACCCAAAAATGATTATAAATTTTAAGATTTTTAACCTGAACATTCAGAAAAAAACGTGGTTGTACAGTTTTTCGAATATTGAATAATTCGTAAAGTAATAAATTATAATGTTTTGTCTGTTTGACATTTATGGAAGATTGATAGATAGATAGATTGACTTTCCTCTTTATAACATGAAACAAGGGGGGGGGCAGGGGGAATTAAAGCTGACATTTATTTATAATAGTAAAAACTAAATTGATAATTCACCTTTCAAATTGCAGTTAATTATCCTGCAAGTTATATTATATATTTGAAAATGGAAGTGGCTAGCTGTACTAGCCAAAAGCACTTTTCAAAATTATATGGAAGTCGAAAATGCATATGTTATTTTGTGTCTTTAAACGAGGAATTTAATCAAGTACGCATTTGTCCTTGTGTTTTCACTTAAATAAAGATGCTCCGTCATTTTGGGGAAAAAAAATGAATACGAACAGGCATTGTATAATCTAATTTAATAAAAGTGTCAAAGTTGCATGTTATACATTTGTAAGTTATAATGGTGTTGATTTTCATGCTCGTCATTTGTTGTTTTATTTGTATGAAAGATGAATTACTAAATCATTTTTGTTAATTATGCACATGGATCGAATAAATAATGATTGGAATGGAATAAATAAAAAGAACATTGAAAAAAAACCAGTGAAAAGCAAAAATAATTGTATAATTTTCAAATACAGTAGATATATAACAAACATAAAAGCACAATCAATTGATTAGCCTTAATTAAAGCCTACCCAGGGACTGACAATAAAATTTTAGAATGTGTTTCACAGAACATGCAAACTTTCCTTAATGATGGACAAACTTCTATACCGTCGGTAATTGACGCAATTATCAGCGCCCAACAACAATTATTTTCGGTGTTTTTTTTTTCATTTTAAAGGTGTCAAAAATTAAACTTTATAAAACAAAAAAAGGATTATTATCAAAATTTTGTAAACTATTTAACTTGGTGTTATTTAAATGCAACCAAACGCCATTTTTTCTCAACATCATGAGATGACAAAGATCGATAGCCAATAGTTGCTGTGTCTTGGTTAAAATCCTCGCTTAAATTCATAAAATAACATATGCATTTTCGACTTCCATATTATTTTGAAAAGTGCCGTACGGCTAGCCAATACAGTGTGACTCACATACGGCTAGAACTTTTGGCCAATACAGCTAGCCACTTTATTTGAAATATATTTGAAATACAGCCTACTCTTGTTATCTAGAAGATGCTGGGTTCTTGGAAAAAAATCGAGATAACAAAATTGTCAAGATAAAATTATAACCCATAATAAAGGTTAAGATCAAACAGAAACTATGTGTATTTTATGTCATAATCATATGTATGCATTATATTTATTTCAGTTGAATGATAACAGAGCTAATTGTGAGGTTTTGATTGGCACATTTAGCTGTTTCCTGCATCCATATTATTGAGCAATGGGATAAGGAATTCTTTGTCTGTGAAATGAACAAGATTTTAGCCCATCAAAATGTATTGAGTAAAGCAGTCAAATCTTTGTATAATATTAACTTTAAGGTAAATTGATTTCTTTTCCTGCAGTTTTCATTTAATCCTTACCCTTTTTAGGCTTTGATGATAGCTTTGGTTATAATTTAACTTTTTTCACCAAGTTTGATATTTATAAGCTTTCTTAAATATCAATGAAATACCAATTAATAATTTTTTCTGATAACAACAAAAGGTCATAACACTGTCAAGTTACATAACTACTGGTATGTCAACAAGTTTTACCTGTAATAGCAAAACATAAAATTGGTCATTAAATGAAAGTGCAGTTTACTGTCAAGCACTGAAAAAAGTGGAGCACACACAACAGGCTCAGCTCTTGTAAATTTATACTAATTTAGTAAATATTTAAGTAGAATTATGTTTATTGAATTTGGGTAAAAATAGTCAATGCTTTTAGTCCAGCATTTCTTCTTTTACTGTACACAGACAAGTGTCAACATGACTTCTTTCAAGAAAAAGAATGTGCGTGAGATGGCTCACATTGACAAGTACAAGAAGAAGTTAACAGTAGTTCCAGTATCTGATACAGCTCAAGTGTTTGTATTGAGCACTGGTAGCTACGGAACAGGACGTTCAGTTTTACTGAAAACAAACTATGACAGGTAAACTTTAGATTGAAATTTATATAAATTTTGTTTCCAGTAATTAATGTGTATCACTAAGATTTTAAATTCATTTGGCTCCTTCATCATCTAATAGACACCCACCTCTTTCTTTTGGAAACTGAGTTGGAACTGGGTCAGAAGTCATACCACTATGTGCAACAAGAGCTCTTTGGGGAGCTGTGGGCCTACTTTCTTTTTCATATGACACGAGCATTGGTTATATCTAGTGAAATACAGAGGCCTAACCTTTACTTTTATCCTACATGAGGCTTGGCAAAAATATATCTCTCTGATTCTAAGTTTTCTCTTTTTACGCAAGAAAATGTTTTCAATATATTTAAGGTATTTGTTCAACTGTGGAGAAGGCACTCAAAAAGTGATAACAGATGTTGTGTAAGTAAAAAAATTGCAAGAGCCTATAGGAAAGTAGTTGCATTACCTAACTTTACCTCTGTGTGTACTACAGCTGCTTTGCTTTCAAGTCAGCAAATCGTGATAGTACCGTTCTCTGTGTTGATATAAGGACGCTATATAGCAAGCTTAATAACACTGTCAAGTTACATGACAGTAATTTTTTGTTATCCTGATTTTTTGTTGTCCATTTAGTTACCTCCCTTATTATAGCCATGTAAATTATGAAAAAAAGGTGAAGGTACCATATTCTGATATTGTTACAAGATAGTAAGATATATATCTGAAATCTTACCAGAGACCAAGTGTACAACTGTGAAGTAATCTACGTTTACTCACATTGAAAATGGGTATACATGTAGTTAAATACAATGTGTATCAAAATTTGTATGTGAAGCAATGATTTTATTCTAGTTTAACACTTACCCGGTACTACCAATACAGAGGCTATTATTGCAAATTTCATAAATGTTGCAATTATTCTCTCTTTCATTTATTTGATATTTTGTAAGCCACTTATAAATCAGAATATGATTCATTTTCTACAAGTAAGATATTTTTCACGTTCAACAAATTGTACTGACACAAGAACAAAAAGACCAAAACATTTAGTTGCCATTCTCAGAGTCCATGACACCAGCAAGTCATATGACTTTGAAATGATCAGGATTGGTTCCCCTGATGGGCATTCTAGTTTTTTGATATCCATGATAAATATTGATATAAATTTCATGGCTGAAAAAGATGCCTTTTGTGGTATTTGTGTTTACCAAACAAAGGTTCTTGATTCAATTAAGGTAGAAACTGATCATGTGTAAGGATAATTGAAAAACATTTTTTTCCTTGTTTACAGCTCTAAAGTTGGACCAGTCGACAATATATTTTTCACATACAATACATGGAATAATATAGGTGGACTTATGGGTAAGTCTTTTTAAGCTTGTCTATTCAAAGTTTCAAATCTAGAATCGAATATAAAATTTTGACTTTTATATACAATTGTTCAATCGGTCATGCTCCAAAATACCTTTCTGAACTCCTAACCAAACAAGTACCAAATACCCGACTACGTTCAGCTAAAACCTCTGAGAACTGCTACGTTATTCCATTCAATAAAAGAAAAACATTTAGTGACAGAAGTTTCGGAACTATTGGTCCAAAATTGTGGAATCCGCTGCCATTAGAGATGAAACAATCTAAGAATATTGATGTATTTAAGAGAAATCTTAAAACACATTTTTTCAGAAAGTTTGAATCACTATTTTAAAATCTGAAATGAGATAAACATGAGTAACATATAACTGATGACTGACAGTGTGATGAATGTGCAATGTAAATGAATGTTTTATTCTTTTTAATCTATTTGTAATCAAGTTACATGTATGTACATAATCTTATCTCATGCTACATATATATCAATCAGTTTTATCATTTTATGGTCTCTGCAATTTTTTAAAAATATGTTAATTGGAATTGTATGTAAAAGCTTTTATTTCACTTGATGTTGATCCACATATTCTTATGCATTCACAATTTTATTCTTATTATTTATATATACTGTACAACGCCGTTGAATATTGTTAAATAGAAACAGGCGTTTAATTAAATAAAAAGTTTCAAGTTTCAATGTGTATTGAGAGTTGTTGTACCTCCCAGGCGTCAGCGTCTCATTATGGTTAAATTTTTGCGTGCAATTTGGTACATGATGTATCTCCAGAACTATTGAAGGGAATAGATTGAAACTTCACACACTTATTTTGGAGCATAAAAAGAGTCACTATCCTAGGCCCATAACTCTGACATAAATTTTGACAGAATTATGGCTCATTTGAACTTCGAAAATTCTGCAATATCCAGGCTCTTGTGTTACGATCAAGCACTATAGTCAAGCATGCTGTCCTTCCGACAGCTTTTACTGATATTGGTAATAGTTCATTTTGATATAACACACATTTAGTTGTATTGAGTTTCAGTCAATAAGTCTTCTTCAAATGATTTTAAAATATTTTGGAATGAATAAAAAAATGTTATACAAGTTAAATAATTTTCACCTTTGACAAATAGTACTGATATATTAGAGATAAATGATTATTGTATAAATCACGCTTTGTTCTGTTGAATATTTTTAGGCTTTTTAATGTCAAACAGTGCTGAAATTGATCATGTGGACACTATACGACTTCACGGACCACCTAATATAGTAAGTACTCTTCATACAAAATTATCACGGAGACTTGAATCTAGGCCATGATGATCAAGGCAATGTTGGTTTTTCTTTTGTTGAAGGGACACTCTTTGTCATTTTATATAGGGTTAACGCACGTTTTTCCGTGCTATAACGTCTGCAGAGTCCCGAGGAACGGTTGGTGCCCGAGCCCGGTAGGGCGAGGGCTCAAACAGTTCTGAGGGACTCTGCAGACTTTATAACACGAAATAAACGTGCGTTGACGCTATTATAGCATTAAAATTTAAAACAGATTCATGATGTATATTTTATACAAAACACAATACATTAAATCCTTGTGCTTGGACGGTATTTATCCAATTCTACATGTTTTATGTATACGTTTTATTTTTCCGGGGCCAACAACTTGGGAAATTCTCAGAACCGAGCGAAATTTTGAATTTTATTTGATTTTATAAAGCTTGAAATTGGAGATATATTATCTCAAGAAAAATCAATGTTACATTACTCTACCCAATACAAAACATAAACCCTCAGAAATTCTTAGAATGATTTCAGATTGACGGTAGAAAAAAGATCAGTGACGTCATCAGAATCGGGTTTTTTTTCAAGCACACAAGTTTATAAATAAAAATCAGGCACTAAACATAATTCTCTCAAAGAAATATAAAGAGCATTTATCAACATAAACATCAATAAAACAACATGTTCTCATATTAATTTTGTGTTATCTTGTTTTGTAAGTTAATCGGAGGGTTAAACTGAATGCCAGTAATTTGTTTACATTGACAACTGTCCCGTTTCTTAGAAAGGGCGACAACCAAGATTAGCAGCGATGTCTACAGTATACGCCGTATTTCCGGCATAGTTACTTGAATGCTGCTCGCCGTATTTAATGCGATTGAGGCCCTCGAATCAATAATTTCAATATAACAAGAGCGCATGACTCTTTGGCAAACAGGCCAAATCGTCAATTTTTTTTTGTTTGTTTACTGGGCCCTATAAGTATTGCGCATAAGTGAAACCGGGCTATAACAAGAGCGCGTGACTATGTTAACACATGGTTTTGGTCCCCTTATAACATGGGCAAAATAGGGAAAAATAGCTGATTTTATGCTATAATATTTGTTATTGAAGTCAATATTAAGTATTGTCATCATGACACAAGTGTTACATAAAACTTCATAACACACCTGCGGATGTTTCTTAATTAAAAAAATCGCAATTTTCATGTTTAAATGTTGGATTCTTCTAAAACCAGTGCAAAGGGTCTTGAATAGTAGATTGCAATTACACTTACTGCCCATGAACATGCTCAGTTAACTTGAACCTGCCACATTTTTGCCATTTTGGGTATTCTTTAGGGATTCAGTTTTTTCTGTATTTTGTAATACCCTACTAAAAGTGTGGCAAGTGGGAGTATCTTAGCCAAGACATTGTCAACTCTAGTTTATGACATGTTGTCAATAAATGGTCACTTTATGTCAGTTTAGCTGATTATACAATTTTAGATAATTAATTGGTATTTTGAGGTTGGCACAGGCCATGATTTGAGTAATTGGATATAAGCTCTGTAAGTAAAATGAGTTTCAAACTATTAGACTAAGTATATTCACAAACCATGTAACATTTCTTTTTATCATTTACAGGATAAACTGTTGAAAATGATAACACCATTCTCGGAGAATTCTGAAAATGTTGTTGCATCTATAGGTAAGTTTAAGACCTACTAGTATTTTACATAGCAGTGTAAAATTGTTTTAAAAACAGTTTTGTCTTTTACAAACCAGACGCTATTGAACAACAGGATTTAAAAAATTGAACAACAGGATTTAAAAAAACAACAACAAAAAACACATTAATTTTTAAATTGAAATTTCTCAAAACCTTTTAGATGGAACTGAAAGGTTTACGTATCATGTATACCAATTTTAGATTTATTTGTTTGGTGAATGTCATACAAAAGGGTCAATTAAGAGCAAAGGGACCAATCAGTATGGTTGGTCATCAGGTATAACAAGTGTTGTTTCAAAAGGATCTAAGGTCAATATCAAAAATGATTGTTTTTTACAGATGTGCGTGGTATAGACAATGTAAAGTATGAAGATGAACAGCTAACTGTAGAGTATGTTGAACTTGTTAGTTCAGAATCAAGTCAAGGGACAGAACAGTCTACTGATGATATCAAGAAAGCAGTGATGTGTTATATTGTCAGGGCAAGTATATTTTGTTAAAATATAAGTTGTATTCAAGGACATCCCTGAATGATTTTAAAGAGCAGCTTGTTGATATTGGGTTTCAGTTAAGGAACCGCACGTGCAAGTAGACAAAATCAAGTAACTAATAGGATAGACAATAAGAATATTACATCACCTCCGAGTACAAACCAGAATATTTTGCTTGATGGTAACTGTTTAGGACCAGTAACGAGGCTCTGACAAGTTTTCATTGAAGATTTATAGGAGAGTTAGATTTTCTTGTCTGTCACTTTAGCCAATGTTTGATTTTTTTGTCTTGCATATTACAAATAGATCTTATTTCGGAATAAATTACGAAAAACTAATATTTTTATTTTTTCATATACATGTAGTAGCATATGAATTTATAGTTCTGTTCATAACTGCAAAATGTGTTGTCATCATAAGCGCATAATTCAGTTATAAAGGGCATCATTTAAATCACTCAAAGTGGGTGTGCAAGACAGTTTTTGTGTTGCCTTGAAAAAGGCGACATATAGGGACCGGTACTCTACATTTCTTAATTTTTGAGTTATTGCCCTTTGTTAATTTTCATACTTTATTTTTGTCCACGCCATTTCTCCTTAAGTATAAAAGTTATGGTCTTGAAACTTCATAGGATGATAGATCTCATTAAGAAGAAGTGCAGTGCACAAGAACCGGTACTCTGCATTTCTTAGTTTTTGAGTTATTGCCCTTTGTTAATTTTCATACTTTATTTTTGTCCAGGCCATTTCTTCTAAAGTATAAAAGCTATGGTATTTAAACTTCATAGGATGATAGATCTCATTAAGAAACATTCAGTGTACAAGAACCAGTACTCGTCACTTCTTTATTTTCTTCATTTTTGTCCTGGCCATAAATTCTCCTAAACTACATGTATATTGTTCACAAGGCGACACATCCGACTAGCGGAGTTCTAGTTTAGCATCAGTGTTAACAGTAGATTCGTATCTGATATGAAAGAAAGGGCCTTGTTGAGACAGCATACATATGTAGATGTGTATGCTTGTCTGGCTTTAAACGTGTGGCATATTATCCAAGCTATTATGGGCCCTTTAACTCTAAGGAAATAGATGTTTGACTTTTCGTTACAGTCTGATTATGTGTGAATCATGTTAAGGAAAATGATTTTTTAACAATCTGTGATGTATAATGTAAGAAATTAGTTTCATTTGTTTTACAGTTGAAAGAATTGCCACGAAAAATAGATAGTAAAAAATTAGCGGCATTGAAAACTCCAAGGTAAGCAAATACTATGAAATTTAATTGAATCTTATACAAAGATATACTTACATATATACATATATACATATATAACATTTCATGACATATAAATCTAATCATGCATCAATATTGAGTTATGGCCCTTTGTAACTTTGAAATAGATTTATTTCCCTTTTATAAAATTTACTATCTCTATTGCATTGTGATGTGCTAGACAGTTTGTGTGAAAACTAGTATATAATTATACACCAAAGTTACCTCCCTTTAATAAGATCCAGAATTTGAGCTACATAGAAAATCTGACTTATAGCAAATCTTTTTCAAAATGCTTGTACAACTATGTTACTGTGATGTTTGAAGATCTTGGTAAAGTGATTTTACGAAAATATTGTCTGAGATTTTTTAATATCTAAGTTAATACATGTAAAGTATACATGTTAATCTCCAAATTAGCATTGCCAAGTAAAATAAAAGTTTATGTTTAAATTATGTTCCTCCATCATCAAATTTGTCAATTTAAAGTACCGATGTTAAATTTCATTAATTTGTAAAAATATAAAACATTGATTTTGGTGAAGGGGAATTTATTGTCCCATCATATTACAGATCATTCTTTATTTTTTACAGCGGGCCTTGGATAAAACAGCTTATTAATGGTGAGGAAGTGACACTGCCTGATGGGAGAATAGTAAGAAAAGTTTCCATTTTTTGTGTGTGAAGAATGCAGTACAATTTCTTTGATGTGGAAGTTTATTGTCCTGATATTTTGTTATGCTGTTAGTTGGCTAGATTGATACACCATTAAGTTTCTGCATAATTTTTAGCTCGACTTTTCTATGAAAAGGGGAGCTATCCTACTCGCCCCGGCGTCGGCGTCGGCGTTGGCGTCACACCTTGGTTAAGTTTTTCGTACCACCCCACTTTATTTCAGAAGTATTACAAGTATGGCTTTGAAACTTACCATACTTGTTCACCATCATAACCTCCATCTACAGACAAGAGTACATAACTCTGTCAAGGTTTTTGACAGAATTATGGCCCTTTTTTGACTTAGAAAGTGTATTGAGCTTGGTTAAGTTTTTTGTACCACCTCACTTTATTTCAAAACCATTGGAGGTATTGCTTTGAAACTGACCATACTTGTTTACCATCACGACCTTCATCAACAGACAAGAGGACATAACTCTGTCAAGGTTTTTGACAGAATTATGCCCCTTTTGACTTAGAAAATACATTGAATATGGGTAAAATCCACTTATTGCCTTAACCCTTTGAGATATTGCTTTGAAACTTTTAATGCTATTTCACATCATTACCCCCATCTGTACGCAAGAGAAGGTAACTCTGTCAAGGATTTGTTTTAAAAATTAAGGCCTTTTATCGACTTAGAATCTTGGTTAAGTTTTAGTACCAGTCCACTTTTTGACTGAACTGTTTGAGATATTAATTTGAAAGTTGGAATACTTGTTTACAATCATGATTCCCAAACATGTCCAGGAGAAGGTAATTCTGTCAAAGATTTTATTTGAATTATGGCCCTTAACTGTCAATGTTTTGTATTATAGGCAAGCACTAAAAAACTTAAAAAATCTAAAAAAATTCATTCCTATCCACTTGTTCACTTTACCATAAATTATGTCATATAAACATTGCTGTAATATTCAAGGGTATCAAACAACTAGTTCACTTTAAAAATACAGAGATTCTTGTATTGCCTTTTACTGCAAAAACTTTTTTTATTGGCAAGCAATAAAAAAGTCGAGCGCGCTGTCTTACGGACAGCTCTTGTTTGACAACCATATGACCATTGGCTGTCAAAATTCATACAATGACTGACTTTATTAACTAGAAGACCCTTAGGCTTTGATGCTTAAAGATCAAGGTCACAGTGATCTTGTATGTTAAAACCAGTACTGCTTGATTAATACAGGATCATTGTGGCCCACAGATTCAAACTGAATTAGTTGATTGCTCTATTTTAGACATCAACTTTAATTGTAGGCTATGGGGGCTCAAAGGTCAAGGTAACAGTGACCAAAATGTTCATAACATGAAAACTGTTGCCACTCATTAAAATGTCTGGTTTCATTTTTGGCCAATTATATATTTGAAAGTTTATGTTTATAAAGCTGTAATCTTTATGTAAACCATTGAATAATAAAGGTCCTTGTTTATTATAAATAACATAGTTGTATGGCTTGAAATACATGAAGTGGATGTGTACAATAATTTATTTTGATAAAATATTTAAGAAAATTCTGTTGTACAAAGGCTTTGTATTGCATTCTGTTGGCAGACACTCTGTTACAAAAATTAAAAATACAGTTATGCTGTTGCATTAGAAACCACTTACAATTCATCAGATCTTATTTACATTGACAAGGGGATATTACATAAATGTATTCATTTGCAAATGATTGAAAAAGATGAATATGATAATGAAAAGATGAATATGATAATGAAAAGATGAATATGATAATATTTAATCTACACTTACAATAATGGGATGTCTGTGGCCAAGTAGTTATGGTTGTTAACTTCAAACCACATACCCCTCACCGCCGAGGGTTTGAATCCTGACAGGGACTTTGTATTCTTTCATGCAAGGAAGCTTAGTCCATCTAGCTTATGGAACATGGGGATTTCTAATCAGGTGCCCGTTCTTGCCTGAAAGTATGCACAGAAAAGCACCTGAGGTCTTCCTCCTCCAGTAAAGCTTGAAAATCACCATATTACCTATACTCTGTTTGTGCAATGTAAAACCCAACCATAATAAAATTTACATTTATCAATGATACAATTATATATTGTACTAGAATTTTTTTAATCTACTATCAACAAAGTAGGTCACTTGTTTAGAAATTGTTAATTACTTGTAGGTTGTCCAGAAAAGGCTGGTAGGTGGACAAGACACCTGAGATATGATCTAAAATTTATTCAAATCACCATAAAAACTACATTGGTTTGTATGAAGAAAATAGTCAAAATTGTTGTTTTTTGTTGTTTTTTTTCCAGATAAAACCAAATGATGTACTTTTGGAAAAAGGAAGTAATCTTGGACCAATATTAGGTAATTAGTGATTCCAGTCTCATCAATTTAGTTTGATTTTTGTTTTCCACGTCCAAAATTCCATATAGAATTACTTTAGTGCTCCATCTGGCCTCATTTTCAAAGTCCAAAAAATCTATATTTAATCCTAATTGTATTTATAGTAACAAAATTCTGTTAAAATTTAAAAATAAATCATAGTGTGAAATAAAGTGGTCATTATACATTGGTGAGTACAATACTGGTTCTACTAGACTTGTACACAGGTGCTAAAGCCTCATCCAATATAAGTTTAATGAGAGATGTGTAATCGTTTCATAGAATTCAGTATTGTACTGTACAGAGTACAGTTTATTATCAAATACCATACCTATTTTATAAGATTTGATAAAAGATTAAATTTGTACAAAGAAAGTGTATACAATTTTGAAATGAATAAAACTTTTGGAAATAAAACAGCACCTGTGGTTGAGTGGTTAAGGTTGCTGACTTCAAACCACTTGCCCCTCACAGCTGTGGGATTGAAGCCCGAAAGATACTTTGGATTCCATCCCCGGGAGATAATTTGGTAGTTAAGCGCGGAGGAAGGTAGTCTAGTGCTGGTGTCTAGTGCTGGTGTAACTCTCCAGGAACGATGGTTAGGAAACTACCCGCCTATATGACTGAAATACTGTTGGGAAAAGGCGTTAAATGAAACAAACAAACAAACAATGTGAGGAAGTAATTAAGCTAGCTTACAGAATGTCTTTTGTTCTACTCAGGTGATGTTTATGCGGGAAATAATGCACTGAAGGGCATCTGAGGTCTTCCTCTACCAGTTAAGCTGGAAAGTCACCATATGACCTATAATGTGTTTGTGCGATGTAAACCCAACCAAAAGAACAAAAACAAATTGCCATGTCAGCCCATTGAAGTCTTTGAAGTCCTCATTGTAAATTACACATTTTTTACAGTAATCAAGTTTGATCATCATGGTACATGTATTTAAAACCATGGCATTTTGATAAAGTATATACATGTATTAGAGGATATTTTTTACCCTCATGTCAGAGATATTTGCATTCTGTAGGCATTATGATTTGCTTTTAAACACACTGTGGTAAGGACGGAGATTTTTTTTTTTTAGTGCTAGATTGTCCTACAGAAGATTATGTTGACCCCTTAATAACAAACAAACAGTTGTTAGACCTACAGACAGATGATGTTAAACCAGTTTTAATGATACATATGGCGCCAGCAGCGTTGATTGCTGGTCCTCGGTATGAGGCATTTATGGGCAGGTCAGTGTTGTAATACTTACCTTTTTCATTTTATGTGTATGAGTTTTGTGTGAGGAGTACCTTTTTGCATTGGATGACTTTGAACTTAGCTTATTAACCTTTTTTATCCCCCCACTCTTCCGAGTTTACTGGCATATATATTTGCCATTATCGATCCATCGTGCTTTAACATTGTCTGTCTGTAGACTGACAAAAAGTGGAATTTGAGGACATTAGTGTCCTATGAACACATTTCTTCTTTGAATTTATTTTGATATTCTCCCCAAATTAGGTCCATAGAAGGTTATGTATATGGTATTGGAATTTGACCTACTTTGAGTGTCCGTTTTAAATGTAGGGCCACTTGTATACTTTTGAGTGAGATATCAAAATTTGATTTCGGATGACCTTGAATTGCAACGACTTCTTACTTCATCATTAAAACTTTCTTTTGTTAGGTTAATTCTTAGCTGACCGCCTGGAACTCAAAGTAATTAGCCTTTGCCACCAGCATAGAGCCAGTGCAGTCAGACTCTAAGTCTCTTAATACTGTTGGCCGGCTAACTAATTTATGTCCCCAATGTTCATGATGAACAGTTAAAAAAAAATAAAGGAGTTTAATAAGCCCATTTTATTAATAAAGCAGGTTATGAATTAATTATAGCCTCTAGTTATATTGTAAATAATGTTGGTTTGTTTGATTATTGTAGATTCCAGTCTGGAACAATACACCTGATGATAAACGAGAACTCGCCTTCTCCGTACGTACATCGAAGTCAAATGTTTCAGTCAATTCTGAATCGTTTACATCCCGGAATATTTCCGTCCCTGCAAGGGCACTATCACTATAATACCAGACCTACTCCTACTACAGACAATGTTGTACAAGCTTATTATGGCCTAGCATATAAAGTGAGGCCTGTCAATCAGCAGGGATTTAATTGGTAAGATATATCTTTTGCTAAAATATTGCATTCATGCATAGTATAAATTCGGCATAATATCTCACATGTTTTTATGTAATTTGTCTTTATCACATAATACGCGGCGCAGGAGTGTAATAAAGCCAGTTAATAAACGATATTACACTAGTGTAATAACACTTTGATGTGACGTCATTTGCGCTCTATATAAAGATAGCGTTAAAGCGCGCTAAAATTAGCGTTACACTATGCGCGTCAATGAAAAATGGCTCTTTTTAACAGTTTACGGTTCTTTTTTTATATGTGATAAATAGAATATTATATTCGTGCAGATTCAATACTAAATTTATTGAACTCTTTGAATAAAACAATATTATGCTCGCCAGAGGCTCGCATAATATGATTTTATTCAACTCGTTTAATAAATTTAGTATTGAACTACACTCATTCAATATCCTCTATATATGCATCGAGTACATGTGTGAAATAGCAAGCTGATAACAATTTGTGGTGCTTTTGTTCTTTACGAATTGTATGTGATCATTTCTATCGCTGGTAAATTAAAAAAAAAAATTTAAGAATAAAATTGGTTAGTTTTACACAAACTTTATATAATGGATTTTTTTTGCTTGAAATAGTGCACCGCCAGGCAACTGATTCTCTGCCACTTAAGCTAAAAGGTCGCCATGTGACCTTTACAATCAGTGTATCTTTATACCTATCATGCACACAGCTAGTTGCAAAGCAGTATTTAGGAAAATTAATTGTGGCATTGATATAGATAATTATGGATATTTAACTTTAAACTTGTCACATGCATGCATATGAGTTGTTTGAGTTCTGACAGGGACTTTGGATTCCTTTGTGTGAGGAAGCTATCCAGCTAGCTAACAGTAGGTCAGTGGTTCTACTCTGCCCCACCCCTCTTGTGCCTGAAATAATGCATGAAAGGGCACCTTAAATTCTTGATCCACCATTAAAGCTAGAAGTTGCTGTTTGACATTTATAAAATCAAAGAAACATACTGTACATTAAATTTAAGGTGACTGTCACAATATATTTTACATATCTATGTTGGCTCCTTGTGGCTGAGGGGTTGCCTTTAATGGCTGAGGCATAGGAATTGCAACCACTGTTAATCCCTGCATGATCATAAGAGGCGACTAAATGGATTCCAACACCTGGAATATATTCATCTCTTAACTCCAGCAGGTGAGGTGGTTTTGACCACTGGTGTTTCTTTGAAGTTTTTAACACTGAAGGTTAAACTAAATCATGTTTCCTGTTTTGGCACCTTATGACCTATACTGTGTTGATGCACCGTTAAACTGAACAAACATATCCTTGTTGAGTATTGTTAGCTCAACTTGATTTGTGATAGGCTAGAAATTACTGAAACTGCAAAATATTTTTATTAAAGAGTGATCGCAAATCTTCCTTTATTGTTTTAAAAGGGATGATTTGGTATACTTTGACCATGCAGCAAGTTTTGAAGAAATGAAAGAGAAAGCGGAGCCTGTAGATTCAGAAATAGACGAGGAACTATCGAAGTTAAAATCAGAGATTCAACAACGGGAAGTTAGTTCTGATGGTGAGACTTTGTCATTTTTATGGTCTCATATTAATGATAGATTCACGTATTCTCATGTTTAGGTCACCAACTTCAGAGTGCTTGCCCTCAGACCCTCCATCCCCCCCCCCCATTGGTCTGGATACATATTCCACGAGGGACTCGGGGAATCTTTGATGTAAGCAAGCTATCAAGCTTGCTGACAGATTGTTGGTGGTTCTACTCAGGTGCCTGCCCTTTCCTGAAATAATGCATCTGAGGTCTTCCTCCAGATTATCCAAAATATTTCAAGAAAATCAAACTTTAAATCAAAGTTATTTGAAATTTTAAGAAAGGTAAAAAATTCAGTATGGGCTATTTTTTGCATATTTTGATCTCTTTTTGGTAATTTGCATGGATTGTAAGTGCCGATTGCAATGTGTAGATTACTTTCTTTGTTCACATCACAAAAGTCTACTTTTGAAATATATTTAGAAAATAAGGAAAAAGAACTGTTGTTAGTCAAATTCAAAACACTGTACAAACCCTAACCTATTTAACTAGATATATTGATAATTGGAATAGCCTAAAATCAATAATTACGATGAAAGCTAGAGGAGTGTGCATGGTGTGCATGTGATGATTAAATCTTTATTACATAATGTTATGTTTGGAGAAAAAGATGTTTAATTTCATATTTTGTATAAAAAAGGTAAACAACCAGAAAATGAATATCCAGAGATTGTGTTCCTGGGAACGGGATCTGCTAAACCTTCATTAATGAGGAATGCAAGTGCCATTCTTGTACAGCTCAGGTTAGTCTGCATTTATTTCATGGTTATCATCACCCGCACAGGGTTATTACCTGAAGTGTTGTAAGAAGCCATTACCAGAAATTGCTTTAAACAACTTCACCTCCTAAATCAATTGGCAAAATAGCAAGAAATAATGATTTGACTTTTAAAGTAATGTCTAAAAATAATGATTTGGCTTTTAAAATAATGTCTAAAAATAATGATTTAGCTTTTAGAATAATGTCTAAAATTATTCCAATGTCTTGAACAAAATGGCCATATAAGTTACAATAAAAGAATTTTTATATAACATCTTGTTAACAAGAGTTGATTCTTGGATAAAATTAAAAAAAACAAAAAACATTGGTCCAATAATAAAAGAACCTTTATACAATAGTATTGATCCTTGGATGTAATTTCACAAAAACTAGAACTGTGTCCAAAGGACACGGATGCCCCCACTGACAACATATATATGGTATATAGTGAAAAAATCAACAAAGGGATCACGGAATGAACCTATTGTTTTCTTTTGTTCTCTTTACTGTTACATAGCCCCTAAACCCAAAATGTTTGCTCGGACAGACGGATGGACGGACAAGTGCAACGCTATATGCATGGGCATAAAAAAGATTGGTCCAGTTATGCAACTTGTCCGCTAGTACTGAAATTAAGAGGTAGCTTTAAATTACCTTTTTCCCATAGCCACATCTTAGATCTGGATAAAATAAATTTCTAGATAATTTTAGGCCAAGTTCTTTAAAATACCCCTGAAAATTTAAAAATTGTCTTCACAGCAGTGCTATGTTTATTTTTACAGGAAGGACGAGTATTTTATAATGGACTGTGGTGAGGGAGCATTGTTACAGATGTATCAAATGTACGGGTTAGAGAAAACCAATCATATTCTATGTAACTTGAAGGGGTTGTTTATTTCACATCTTCACTATGATCATCATGGGGTAAGTAATTTATACTTCTTCATTGCAGTTTGAAATCAAATAGGTAAAAGTGTGTATGGTATATTGAACAGTTTTATAAAAGTTAAATTACATCATTATAATAGTAATTACATCATTAATTTTTGTTGAATTTTTGATCAACCAGTTTCCAGAATACAGAGATGTTTTCCTTATATATAGATAAACATGGCTTTATTTTGACAAAGAAAATTGCCCAATATTTCGGACATTCTAATATTTTTAACTAACAATGGTTTCAACCTTGTCACAAAAGTTGAAAATAGACTTTAAAAATGAAATCTGAATTACAATGCTGAGAGCTTAGATATTTGTAGTATGTAGCATTGCTTTGTGATCCTCTACAAAAATTACATTACCTTGCTAATGCTTTGTATTAATTAAATGTTAGGCCTTTGCTTTGTTTATTCTGGAGTAAATTAATGTTATAGTGTAAAATTTTTCAACTGTAATGCAAACATTGACATCATTTTCTATTTTAGGGAGTGTTTGGTATTTTAGAAGCTCGTCAAAAGGTATTAAGCCAGTATGGTAGAAACGATAGATTGACAATATTTGCTCCTTCCTCACTGAAGAGATGGTACTTTCTGTATTCTAGATATGTGTCTCCTATTGAAAATACTATAGAGTAAGTAGACTTAAATACCAAACTTTTACTTTAAGCTTGTCTATTTTGAAGAAAAAGTCAAGATATTGTTATTGCTGCAATACCATCATTGTCCTCCTTGCTGTTGGTATTACCAAATGTCCATTAGTGCCTACCCAGTGCCAGGTTTTAGTTATAAGTTGAGATGTCTCTATTGAATATTTATAATTGTTTGGTGTTATAAAATTAATATCACATCCCACATTGGGTGATAGAACAAAATCATCACCCTTTGAAAAATAATGTAAACCCAGGCTAACACATCAGTTGACATCACTTGTCTTGGATGAACATGTTCTAAGGGAAGGTGGTTCTACTCCGACTACGTTAGCTGCTTATGGCTCGAATAACAAAAAGATGGGCATGAGAAGTTGTCACCTTATTTATTTTGTGTATCGTGGCTGAAAACTCAAGAAAGAAAATAAACAAAAATTGTCACAAAGAGTTCTCAAACTGATCTTGTACCATCACAAGTAGACAGGAGGTATTACACACAATAATGAAGGAAAGAATGTTTACTCCATCTCTGGTGCCTATTAGTACCCGATATAATGCACAGAGGGGCACCAGATGTCTTTCTCCACTAGTAAAGCTGGAAAGTGGCCATAGAACTTTCTGTGTTGGTGTGATGTAAAACCTAAAAAAAAAAGATATGTAAGTGTAGATTTGTAGAAATGTTTAAGCAAGTTTATTTTATCATGTAATTACATGTATATGAAATGTTCTTTTCTGTTTTTTTGAAGACTTATCACAAATGAGACAATTTATAACGATATTAAGGACGGAAAGGAATCAGATCAAATCTCATATACAAAAAATCTACTCAATGTCTCTAAGGTAAGATTTGCATTGTTTATTTCTCTTCTGATGTTAACTTATTTGACCACTGGTATTTGTACTAGATTTGATATCTTACCATCAATATAAACCCAAACATACATTTATCAATACAAATAGTCAGTGTTTATGGACTGAGCAAAAATGTCACCATCCAGTTTAGTTAGCGTTGGATGGAGTGAGCCAGGTTTAATTCCCGATAGTGCAGGTCAATTTTGTTTTGATTGATCATGAAATCCTTTCTCCGGTCATTTGCACTGTACCTCTGCTTTGTCATGTACAGAAGTTATCAGTTCCTTGCGAAAGTGAAGGCAAGTAGTACTGGTAAAACTTCTTGACAGCCTGCCTAGGAATGATCCAGTGGCTGAACAGTGCTCTAGTTAATTCAATGTAGCTTACTGCCGTGATCCTGAGTGAAAACTACCAACACCACCATGCTGACCAATAATGATTGCTTTCCTTAAGTAACTGTCCTGTTGCTGTTGTAGGATTTTATATTAACGGGTATCAAGGCAAGTGAAAATGGGGAAAATGAGCTTATGACCTGTACTTGCAAATGTCTGTTCAACTAATTAAATTTGCAAAATGAAAAAATACACATTGTTAAACATGTTTGTTCAAGGTTTACGGAGAGTAAAAAGGTTTTGTGTGTTTTCAGTTTGTAGTGATGCCAGTTGTTCATATATCTCATTCATTTGGTATTTCTATAAAACACATAGATGGCTGGAAACTGGTCTATTCGGGAGATTGTATGCCAAGCCAGGAGTTGATAAGCTATGGTAACTATTTTTATAATTATAGAATTTACTTTGAAACTTTTAAATTAAATTGCTAAGTAACTTTGTCAATGTCTGATCTTTATAGTACAAGTTTTTTACACTCTTAACCCATATATAGTTGCCTATTTGATCATCCGCACTAACATTTTGATACTTAAGTTGTAACAGGAACAACAGGTAACTGCAGTGTACTATAATTGTTTAAATGCTTACCTTTTTATTTCAGGAAAAGACTGTGATATCCTCATTCACGAGGGAACTTTTGATGATGAAGCTGAAGTAGATGCACGCAGAAAAAGACATTGGTAAACTATATTACTGCTATTATTAATACAGAATCATTTTGGAGCAATTTATTCTATGCCCAAAAGGAGATAAGCTTCTACCTGGAAAGTTTGCATGCCCAAAACATCAGTCAGTGAGTGATTTGCTGTCAGCTATGTTTCTTTTAAAACCAATAAAAGGGTATGCCTGATACTTTGGTCAAATATTTATTCTATAAGATGAAATTTTACACTCTGTTTTCGGATGTTCAACTTAAGGGTCACAGGTGGAGGTCAAATGTTTGAACAATCAAATTCATGAACCCTCAATATCATCTGAGCTACTATAATGATATTAAGATAAGCGTTGTGACAATAAGGAAAAACCTCAGGTCAAAAAAAGGTCAAGGTAATTGTTGAAGGTCCAAGGGCTTAAGCAAGCATGTCTTTTCTTTAAAATTTTGGATTACTGGATGAATGTTCGCCACATGTAGGTGAAATGTTTATTTTATCAAGCTGATAAGTAGAACCCACATTTCAGACACCAACATCAAAATTTAAATTCAATGGCTAAAGTTGTGAGCCAGCAATATTGTGTCAGCTTTGTATCCGATCAACCAATAGACGGATATATGATAATTTTTTGGTGAGATTTTTTATCTCATTGTGAGGAGATGCAGACTGAGCATTTCTGGTGCCAAGATTTCAATTTAAGGTCATAGTTCAAGGTCAAAGGTTTAATTGGGAAATTTGTGTCTAAACTTTTTATCAGCTCAAAGCATTTAACCTATAAATTTGTCCTTTTTAACAAAAGCACAAAATTTATACCCATGGAATTAAGTGAACTCTCAGTACTTTTCTGTTTGCTTATCAAGTAATGATGTTTGTTTTTTCCAGCACCACAGGTCAGGCTATTGAAGTGGGGAAGAAAATGAATGCAAAATATACTCTACTAACACATTTTAGCCAAAGATTTCCTAAGATACCAGAATTCTCAGACAAGTTTACAGAAAATGTTGGTTTTTCATTTGACTTTATGCAGGTAAAAATGTTGTATTTTCATTTGACTATATGCAGGTAAAGGAATAGATAATTGTATCTTGAAACTTTCAATGAACTTGACCAACTCTGATGGAATCAAGGTTGAAAGTAAGGAAAAAATTTTACTATTATACCGTAATTATTTAAATACAGAAATCGAGTGTAGTTTTACAAACACATATATGATATTGTTCCTTACTAAGAGGTAATACCTGGCAGCTAGAGTAGGGTTGACAGGTGATAATCGGCTCATTTAATAAATTATGGCTCGACATATGTTCAGCAGGCCAATTATGTTTATGAGATTTTTGCCCTGCATTGCAATCTCATGATCAGTCGCGTAACACTCATAAATAGTTGAAATTATGGTTTAATTTGTTACTATTTATAGTAAAGTGTATTAATGAACTTTTTTTGTGATTTATTGATGATTAACTCTGAGTGTTATTGAGTTCTATCACACATTGATACTTATGCAATAAATAGATGTTTTTTTGACAAGAAAACTTTTGTTACAGTAGTGAAAACTACATAGTGTTTTAAGTGTTGGTTTTAAAAAAAAAAAAAAAATTGCGAGTGCATGTACAATGCATCTTTAATATAAGTTAGTATGGTCATCATGTTAGAATGGTCATCACATTGATAATTGCAGATTGGGGATATTTTCATTTTATTTGTTAATGATTTCAGGTGCGGCCAAGTCAACTTAGGTTAATTCACATGTTTAAAGCAACTCTAGATAAAATGTTTGGACATTCTCTTAAAACAAGATTGAAAAAAGGCATTAAAGCATCAAATCCCGAAACCAGCAAATCGTCAGAATCAAGCAAATTTGTGGAAACCAAAAGTTTGGTAGAGGATCTATATTCTATAGAAACAGAGAATGTGAACAAAAATACCAAGAAAGATAAAAGACCTGTTGATATTAATACTGAAGACAATGACAATAAAGACTTAAAGGAAGATGTAGAAAGTGGCAAAGAAAGAAGCACTAAAAGAAAAGTTGAGAGTCAAAACGATGCTCATAAGGCAATGAAAACAGACTCAGGTGTTCATGTTATTTCTACCGTGGAGAAATAGGTTTTTGCCCTTAACCTGTTGAATTTGTTTAATGGGTTTGCCTTGCTTTGTCTTTCGGAACAATATGTTTGAAGGTATTTCAATATCAAAATTGAGGTACTAGATATAGAGTCTGGTCAGACGTCATGGATGTCCAGACTGGCCTGGCTCTATACTGAAAGCACTTAGACTAGTCACTTTCAGATCCGGCAGGTTAAGGGTATCTTAAGTAATTAGCAATTGTTTGTATGGTTAGAATGAATTAAGTAGCCATTTGAGTGAATTTATATGACATCATGTAATGAATTTTTTTATTATTAATTCTGAAAATAAAATGTCAAAATAATATGTATCTTTTATCATAGGCAGTAAAACTGAGTGGATGGTTTAAGGACAGGGTAATCAAGCTCATTCACAGTCCCTTTCATGTACTGGACCGTGATTTAGAAGTTTATGGGTATTGGATATTTTTCATTTGGTTGTTTGAACTCAAAAATACTTACCAGTCTGTTTTAAGTACACAATGTATCGTCAAGCACATTGTACGATTGTAGTGGGTAATCAAACACACTGCTACTGTTGTAAATATAGAAATTTTAGAAATATACACACCTTGACTAATGAGCACAAGTATCAGATAACATAAGTCTATTTTCATGTTTTAATTCATGAATTTTAATAACTTTCATTGCCTTGATATTGTAAATGCAATTTAAACTACCGTCATACCTGTAGATATCGAGTGTTCATAGCAAAAAAAACAAAAACACAACAGTTTCTCTATTAGTAAATTTGTAGATTCTAATTATTAAAAGACTAGAAATGTGTCATCATGCCACGGATGCCCCCGCATGCAGCCAAAATTTCAATTGTTATAATATTTAGTTCCAAATTTGTTTGCACAAATTATTTTTTTCATTCTAAGTTCAAAGCCCTTAAAACTTTTCAATGTTAACACATTAGTCAAACCATTTTTATACAATGTTCAAGGCACTGAAATTATTCAGTCTTAACCATTTTTATACAATGTTCAAGGCACTGAAATTATTCAGTCTTAACCTTTTAAAAATAGCATATTGCATATTTGTAGCCAACATAATGGCTATATACATTTCCACAAAAGTATGAGTGCTGAAACTGAAAGTTCAAAATTTTTCCAACATTCAGGAAAGATAATTTTGTCTAAAATCATTGAACCACGACCAAATTCAAACTTAAACTGCTTATTCCTAAGATGTATCTATATTATTTTCAAAGTGAAAGGGACATAACTCTGCCAAAAAAATCATCGAACCATGACCAAATTCCAACTTGACCTGCGCATTCCTTTGACATATCCATATGTCAATTTTGAGTTGAATATGTAACACTGTTGGGTTGATAATGAACAGAAACTGTAAATTTCATATCATTTTCAAAGTGAAAGGGGCATTACTCTGCCAAAAATCATTGAACCCTGACCAGATTCGAACTTGGTCTGCGCATTCCAAAAACATATCCATATGTCAAATTTGAGTTGAATGTGTAATATTGTTGGGGAGATAATAAACGGAAACTGAAAATTTCATATTATTTTTAAAGTGAAAGGGGCATAACTCTGCCAAAAATCATCAAACCATGACCAAATTTGAAATTGACCTGCGCATTCCTTTGACATATCAATATGTCAAATTTGAGTTGAATGTTTAATACTGTTGGGGAGATAATAAACAGAAACTGAAAATTTCATATTATTTTCAAAGTAAAAGGGGCATAACTCTGCCAAAAATCATTGAACCATGACCAAATTTGAACCTGGCCTGCGCATTTCTTTGACGTATCGATATGTCAAGTTTGAGCTAAATGTGTTGTACGATTGGGGAGATAATGAACGGAAACTGAAAATTTCATATTATTTTCAAAGTGAAAGGGGCATAACTCTGCCAAAAATCATTGAACCATGACCAAATTTGAACTTGACCTGCGCATTCCTTTGACGTATCCATATGTCAAGTTTGAGTTGAATGTGTTGTACCATTGGGGAGTTTAAATGAATGGAAACTGAAAATTTCATATTATTTTCAAAGTAAAAGGGGCATTACTCTGCCAAAAATCATCGAACCATGACCAAATTTGAACTTGACCTGTATTTTCTCATGACATATCAATATGTCAAGTTTGAGTTGAATGTGTTGTACCGTTGGGGAGATAATGAACGGAAACTGAAAATTTCATATTATTTTCAAAGTAAAAGGGGCATAACTCTGCCAAATATCATCGAACCATGACCAATTTCAAACTTGACCTGTATTTTCTCATGACATATCCATATGTCAATTTTGAGTTCAATATGTGCAAGGGTTATTAAGATAATGAACGGAAACTGATGATGACGGAAGGATGGAATGACGGAACAGGGTAACACTATATGCCCCTGCCATTATATGGCGGGGGCATAAAAAGTAAGGACTCGTGATAATGGCATTATCTTTTTATTCTAAATGTTACATTTGTTATATAAATTTTCTTGAAGCATTTAACACGTGAAAGTGTGAAGTTAAAAAGGATATTGGATAGAAGTCACAGCTATGGCTAGGTTGTAGGGAAAATATACTAAAAGCCCTTCTGTTTGGAGATACAAATATTGAAAAAAAAGTGAACCAAATCAAACATGTTAAAGCAATTTATATTACACAAAATATCTATCAAACATTCACTGCAATATCACATTGACAAGAAAGTAGATAATGATGACAAGATAGGCAAGACATATAATAGCATGCCCTTAACAGGTTCATTCATAAATTATTTTTGTGATTTTTTCATGGCATTCCCTGATATACAATATATTGACAAATAACTTAAACCATGCTTATCTTTTAGCAATAGAATGCCCAGATTAGTTCAGAAACTACACTGTATGTGTGATGCCTTAGAAATTAATTTTGAATGTTCGGACAAAAAAAAAGACGCCCATCTTTAATATAATTATGTCCACCGTCAAAGAAGAGGGGACATAATTGTTTTCATGCAACTTTCTCGACTTGCCGACGATTGGAACATTCATGTTTTACATATATATCTTGTGAAACATATCTTGGAGTAGTGTAAGCTTTTACCAAGGCAATGAAAAGAAAATGTAAATTACTGTATAGAATTTCATTAAAATTTTCATGATTAAAAAGATCGTGATTTAAACAAAGTGTTAAAAAATATTGGCGGTCACCATCTTACTTTTTGAGTTATCTTCCCCTGAAGACAATATTTTTTACTCTCGGGGGAATCCTTTTCCTTGTAAAATCTTTAAGTGGCTAAATAAGAGTATCTGGCTTTAAGTGTTTAATACTTTCCTTTGACAATATGACCCAGACTAGCATATGGACTACAACTTGTACAAGGGGATTTTGCTTGTTATGTGCTTGGAGTAATACATAAAGTGGAATCCGATGTTTTTCAACACAGTAACTAGTTTACTTCAAGAATTGCTCTGTGAGATGTGTTTGAGATTTTGAATACCTAGCTAACTAAATTCCTCAATATGCTTGTTTCTTATTCTGGTTCTTTTTGGGTTTTTTTATGCTTTTTTTAACACATTTTGGGTCATATACTGGCTGTTGGTCTTAACAGGCTTGTCAGGATAACTAACTAGTAATAACTAATTCCTCCACCAGTGACTCACTACTAATCACACATCATTTCTGAATCAGTGGTGAGAGACATACAAGTATTTGACTATGTCATGGGTCCTTGCCACATACAAAACTAAGCCTCGTCTGAGAATAAACAGCAACTTCTTGGTCCAATGATCTACCTATTGAGCTAAGTGGAATATCAATCCCTATTAAGCTAAGCAGAACATTACTACTTGTGAGTTGAAAAGATGGTATAATTTATCTGCTTATACTGGTACCGTTAAATATTTTGATTCTATCCAATGATAGCTTATATATGCATAAATCATACTGTTACCAAGTGAATCAGTTCCATCTGAAAATGACATTTTGCAGTGACTTTTCTGAGATGTTATTTCTGTTACTGATATTAAAGCATGGCTACCCTGATGAAAATTAACCATATATTATAATTGCCCCATTTATTGGGGGGTGGGGGTTGTATAGTTTTGTCCTTGTCTATCTGTAGGCTGAAAATCGAGTAGGTTGTAAGGGCATCTGTTCTATGGACACTACGATAGTTTTAAATTGCTTTGCATTTAATGTTAATGAAATTTCAACCATGCTTAAATTTACCAATTACCAGTGCAAATTGATATATCACATATTTTTTAAGGTAAAAAAATCTTCACAAATATTTCTTTTCTGAAATATTACAATTCTCCAATAAGATACTGTTCATTTATTTGCTGGTATAAATGCCCGACATTCCTGCCAATCGTGATCCTTTGATGAATTACCCTGATGTCAGAACGCCTACCTTAGGTCTATAACAATGTGCAATGAAGAACCCACAATGGCACTCATTTTGTTTACTAACGAGTCTAGATTTTGCCTAGACTTCACAGATAGACATGCCAGTGTGGAGCAGACCAAATGAACGTTTTTCACTTCATTACATCTTGGAACATGACTGATTATGTGGAGTCTCTCAAGTTAATGGTAGCCAAGAAATAAGTGACAATGGCAAAGTGGACCTGTCTGCACCTTTACAGCAGAAAAGTTTGTCCCGTGATTCTTGAATTAAGAGTAAACATTTGTTGGGCCATTTCTTGTAGCCCTGTGCAGCCAGGCACTCTTGCAGAACTTTTGCTTTCTTACAAGAGGAGTGAAACAGAATTCCACACCTAAATATCAACCGGCTTATTTACAGCAAGCCAAGGCACTGTCGGGCTATAATTTATGCCCATAAACACCATATTGACATAAATTTCATGCAGCCTTAAGAGAAATAACCACTTTTACCAATTTCCGGAGATTTACGAATTTTCAAGTTTCCACTTACACTCGTGTTTTAGATTACAAAGGTGGTTGGCTATTACCAGAGTTGGGGGTAGTATATACTGTAAATTTTAATTTGATCCAGAAAATATCTAGGGATGAACAAAGCTTCATTTGGAATGGAATACTCAACCTCATTGGAAAAAGGGCAAAATACGTTTATTTTATGGTCATAAACTAATATTTTTCTTGTGGATCTTGATTGAGCATTAACAAGAGATATCTTTTACATACTGGAAATTTTATTACCATAAACATGAACAAACATAAACATGATGTCAATCAACCTTCAAAACTTATGTAATGGATTTGTCCAGCATTCCATTTAAAGCTTAAATGATTTCTACATCAAATTACTAAAATTGAGCTAGCAAAAGTATAGAACCTGGTCAGACTGTACCAAGTACAAACTGGTCAAGCTCTATCCTATCCCTTGCGGTTCTAGCATGTTAAAAAGTTTCCAGTTAACAAGCTGTTAGCAACTTTAAAAACAGAACACCAAACTTCATCATTCACAACATATGAGCCGTGTCATGACAAAACCAACATAATGGGTTTGCACACAGTCTGATCAAGATCCATGCTGTTCACTATCAGTTTCTCTACTTGTAATAGAGTTGATAAGCGAACAGCATGGATCCTGATCAGACTGCGCAATCTGGTCTGGATCCATGCTGGTCGCAAACGCATAACGTTGGTTTTGTCATGATGCGGCTCATATCATTTTTAAGTTCGATAATAATTTCATTTTTGTTTCAAAGTAGTCCGCCTCAAACAAATGTCCGTCCATCTTTCTTTTCACAGCGCACCCTGAGCAAGAATATCTGTTATTAATGATATAATTGCTATCATGCTAGTACACTTTTTAACACTTATCTCTCCTTTATCTGAATACACTCACTCTTGTAACATTCTAGTCAAGCATAGATTTAAATAAGAAATATCTATAATATAAATCAGTAATATAGGTAATTCTTCTCCAAATCTACCTTTTTACTTATTCATTTCATAATCTATGCCATGGAACTTCGAAAATAATTCAGTACAGTTCGTTTTCATCATCTGTTGCTAATCGGCTAGCTCCTCCACATTAACAGCCTTCTTTCCCATCCAACGCTCATCTCTTTTGGCTTGTAACAACACTCGGAAGAATTTACTGTCTCGTTGACCACCAAATAAAGCATTCAGTGCTGGCTTTACTAGGTGAAGTGTCCATAATTGGCTGGGACGCAACTGACATATAGAGCAAATATTAAAATGCATTAAAGTGAAGAATTATACATAAATCCAATGATTTTTGGCAATCTTTTATATCTAAGTAGCCTCAATTGATTTTTTAAATAAATAAATCAAAACTTAGTATGTGTAATGTAACAGAATGATATTTTTAAAAATATTATGCGGTAGTATGTTAAAACATATCTTATACGTAAGAGGCTCAAATTTGAAATCCATAACAACAGTAAGGCAGACATTAGGGACTTGTGCCCATCATGTAAGATAACTACAGGGAACAAGTGTGTAAAGTTGCATAAAGTGCAACTCATTCCCTTCACTAGTTTTGGAGATACCAACTTAACCAAAGTGTGGCACCGACTCTGTGGTAAATGGATTAGTTCTCCCTACTCTTAAAATTGTCCACCTAAATATATATGTAACTTAAAGTGTAATTACTAGTACCTGCATGAAGTCAAATGCATAAGCAACATTTTTTGTGCTTTCTTCAGGGAAGACTGGGAGCTTGGCATATTTCTGACTAAAATGTGTAAGTATAATGAATTTTGCATTCATATCCCTTCCGACTTGAATAGCGCTAGTTACTGTGCTGAAATAAGAAGAGATCAATATAATTAAGAACTAGATGAAAAAATATGTGCAAGTACAATAAACATTGCTCCTGTCATTTAAAAACAAAAGAAATCCTTGTAAAATAGATGCTTTAATATCAAGACATCTTGGGGGGAAAAATACACCCAAGTGCATGCAAAATTACTTTTGATGCTATTGAAATTAAACTGTTTATATTTCAATTATTCATGGTCATAAATTTCAAAAGAACCTTAGAATATATGTAAATCTATATTACCAAATATAAAATGCTGTTTCCTACATAACCCTCACTTTGCAGTTTGGGTGATATTGGCCAAAAACTTGTTATACAGCACTATAATTTATACTAGAACATGTCTGACAAATCTTTAAAACTAACTCTGTAATAGCATGCTTTCACTAGCTACAACTTACCTGTGTCTTTTCCTAGCAGCACTTTCTTCTTTACCACCATCTAAAGTTGCCTCATGTATAAGGATATCACAGTTTTGACCTTGAAAAATAAAACGCCACAGACAAAAGGTTAAGGGTAGCAAAATTTCTATCTATATAATATTTGTATACTTGAATATTTTTTTTAAACAAAATATCTTAAACACATATAGATTAGCATAATCTTTGAGACATATTATTTTAAGAAAATGTAAGCATCTGAGAATAAACATAACTTAACTGATCTTTTTTTTTTTCTCAGTGAAACTGATTTTTATTACATTCAGATTTTAACAATTTTTTTTGGTGTTAATCCACCAAACCACATAACAGGCTTTCCTGTTTAATTAACCAATGAAAACCAGTTTCTCCACAAATGACCGGCCACTTATCCCCCTTGAATTTTGATTCAGCGGTGAGAGACCTATCACCATTAGACATCACCATCAGACTAATATCCGAGATCAATTGTCAAAGAGGAACTACGCCTCGACCGTGGATCAAAAGGAACGATATGTATACAAAATTCTCACCATAACGAATCAGCAGGTCACATGGTTCTGTGTCCCCCGAGTAGACTAGTTTCCAGCCATCCTTGTGTCTCATACATATACCATATGCCTTTACTGAATGATAAACTGGTACTATTGCTAACTGAAAATACACAAGTTTGCAGTCTGTTATGTTACTTATAGGGTCAGTAAGATTTTAGGCCCATCAATTAATGTTATAAGTGATGCTACACCCCTGGGGTATAAATTTAAAAGAAATGTTAAGAGAGTCACAAAGTTATTATTCTACCTGCCCAACATCTCAGCTGTGGGCATTGCTGTTTCTGAACAGATTTATACAAGTCTATCTAAAACTACTGTGACCAACTTATGCATGAGACTCAAACCATTTATATAGCATTCAAAGAGCGTCACCAATTCTTTGTTGAGTTTGGTGAAAAATCCACCATGCATTAAAGGGAAAGACATCTAACCATTACCCTGCTGGCTGCAACTTAATCTACTCATGTCACCAGTACAGACCAAGCACTGTCTGGTCACAATGGTTTGCACAGTATGTAATTTAAGAAATAATATATTCCAAACTGTGATTTTATCGCTCAATATGCGCATCCGAAAGACAAACAGTGATTTTATCAAGCGATAAAATCATGATTGGGATATATTATTTCGATTCTAACACAACATAAACAAATAAATGCTGCCTTACCTGATAATTAAGTAAAATTGCGCCTAATTTGTTTCCGTACTTATTTTCAGCACGTCCAATTTTTAGTGGTTATGTCAAGCAATTTTATATCACATACCAGTAAAAATTTCTATTGCCAGTCAGTAACATTTATATCGCATACCAATCCACTTTATATAATTATCAAACACCAGTAAAAGTTATAAAATCAATCAGTCATTATCATATCACATGTCAATCACAGTTATATCACATACCAATAGACTTAATTTCACATACCAGTCTAAATGTTATCACCAATCAGTCATAATTATATAACACAACAGTCACAAACATATAACCAATATGAAAGGTGAGGATACAAATCTTACCTCTGAAAGACCAAGTAAGTTTTTAACTTCTCGCAGAACATATGAATTAGGGTTCGTTTTGACATCATCGTAAAGAGCATGGTTAGGAATAAACCTGTAAAAAAAGTAATTTTCTTATAAATTGAGTTATATTGCTCTTAGAAAATTCCTTAAAACTGACGCTTCTTTTGCCTAATATGTGTAGTGGACCACAAATGGTTGATTCTCCTCCCTATTTAATATTATGTGGATCAGGCCCAATAACTGGAGTAGTAATTATAACAAGACTTAAGAGTATAAAAAAATCCTCCAAATATCCACTGCTGACTGAGGCATGCCTCATGGTTTATATATGAGCCATGTCACGACAAAACCAACATAATGGGTTTGCGACCAGCATAGATCCAGACCAGCCTGCGCAACCGCGCAGTTTGATCAGGATCCATGCTGTTCGCTTACAATTCCTATGACAAGTAGAGAAACTGATAGCGAACAGCATGGATCCTGATCAGATTGCGCGGATGCGCAGGCTGGTCTGGATCCATGCTGGTCGCAAATGCACTAATTGTTGGTTTTGTCATGACACGGCTCCTATGTTTTGTAAAATTCCTAAAAGCAATGCTGCATGCCAAATACATGCTTGACCATATGATTTCAAACAAGCACATTTAAATGTGTTCACCTATAGTCATAAACATGAAGCAATACCTAAAAAAGTACAGGAAAAAACAACTGGGGTGGTACAAAGGCCTGATGAGACAAAAACACCCAGGTGAGGAGGAACCTGCATATCTCTTCTTATCATATAATTTAAAGCAACTGAGATAAAAAAAAACAAGAGCCGGTTGAACCGGGTGATGCTCCCCGAATATGTTTTGGACACAGGAAGGTATACCTCTTGTTGTGTCAGAGTTATGTCACAGACAAAGTTCAAAGTGTAAAAACAACCCAAATATTGTGCACGACACATTGTCTAAATATGGTGATCATTTTTGTGAAATAGTTTTAATATCCGATTTCAAATAACAAAGTTATGCGCCTGACATTATTTTGCTGCAAGGTCATGCTGTGACCTTGACCTTCAACGTAGTGACCTAAATGTTGCATGCGACACGTCGATTCAATATGGTGATCATCTCTGTGAAATAGTTGTTAAATCCAAATTCCAGTAACAAAGTTATGGGCCGGACACGATTTTGCTGCAAGGTCATACCGTGACCTTGACCTTCAAGGTAGCAACCCAAATGTTGCGCGCGACACAATGTCTCATTGTGGTGATCATTTCTGTGAAATAGTTGTAAAATCCGACTTCAAATAATGAAGTTATGTGCCGGACACAATTTTGCTTCAAGGTCATGCTGTGACCTTGACCTTCAAGGTAGCGAGCCAAATGTTGTGCATGACACGTCATCTTAATATGATGATCATTTCTGTGAAATACTTTTTAAATCTAACTTCAAATAGGGAAGTTATGGGCCGGACACGATTTTGCTGCAAGGTCATGCTGTGACCTTGACCTTCAAGGAAGCTACCCACATGTTGCACGCGACACATCGTCACAATATGGTGATCATTTCTGTGGAATATTTTTTAAATCCGACTTCAAATAACAAAGTTATGGACCGGACACGATTTTGCTGCAAGGTCATGCTGTGACCTTGACCTTCAAGGTAGCGACCCAAATGTTGCGCGCGACATGTCGTCTCAATATGGTGATCATTTCTGTGAAATATTTTTAAAATCCAAATTCAAATAACAAAGTTATAGACCGGACACGATTTTGCTGCAAGGTCATGCTGTGACCTTGACCTTCAAGGTAGCGACCCAAATGTTGCGCGCGACACGTAGTCTCAATATGGTGATCATTTCTGTGAAATATTTTTAAAATCCGACTTCAAATAATGAAGTTATGGACCGGACACGATTTTGCTGCAAGGTCATGCTGTGACCTTGACCTTCAAGGTAGCGACCCAAATGTTGCGTGCGACACGTCCTCTCAATATGGTGATCATTTCTGTGAAATAATTTTAAAATCCGACTTCAAATAACAAAGTTATGGGCCGAACACGAATTTGGGACGTACGTACGGACTGACGGACGGACAGACGGAAGGACGGACGGACGACCCGACGACTATATGCTCCCCCGAAATTTTTCGGGGAGCATATAAAAGGCTACCCACAGCATTAAGCCAGGTCAGATTGCACAATTTGGTCAGACTGCATGATTTTGACCATTGTCCAGGCTCTATAATAATATCATATGCCTTATTCTCATCGACTTGTGACTTCGCATCAATTTGTTACCTAAATAAATGTCTGGCTGAAACACTCCTGCAAGTACGTATGCCATCCCAAAACTACACAAGTTTTAGCTGACAGTCTCGATTGGACATCTTTATCCTATCAAAATGCGTAATTGAACAGGTGTAAATGTGCTTACCCTACAGTCCATTTGATGACCTTATTACTTTAAAATATTGAATATTGATGTTATAAATTTATCAAACACACAATCAAGTAAAAAAAAAATGTTAATATGTTGTAAACATTAATTTAAATTAGCTGACATAACTTATGCCATACCATTGCATGATTTGAAAATAAAATACAGGCTGGCAATTTTCGCCGCGAAGAATTGGCTCAAAGTAAAAAATTGCCAGTGCTAGCCCTGATAAGAGTGGTGTGAACAACAATATCTTGATAACATCACAGGGTGAATCTGATTTCAAGAATCGATGGGTAAGCATCCTGCTGAGCAAGACAATCATGGTTGACATGTTCAGATGCTCTGTTCTTTGAGCGGTTGTTTTAAATTACTAAGAAGAAATTTAAAGTTTTTGAACATTTGGATATTGAATTTATTCAACAAAATTAATGTACAAATTGCACTGTTTGTATGTTTGATATTGAATTGACAAGAGAAAAACAAACATGTCACAAAATCTTAGATATAATCACTTTCAGTTCCAGCAAATAAATGATAAAAACTTTGCAACTAAAGACTACTTACTTGTATGAATTTTCAATAGGGTTTAAATATCTAGAATGATGCTGGCACAGGCTACTAAATGTTATCGGAGCAATTATAGTCAGTTTATCCATTCTTCTTTTCTGTCTCATTTCGTTGTTAACAACTTCTATAATACTAAAAAGTCCCTGAAACACATGACAAAAAATCTATTTTCTTATTGTTACAAAAGATTCAGTTTATCAAAATAATCATGAAAAAAACAAACATAAAAAGCATTTTTGGTTATATTGCTGCAGTCGATTCTAAATAGCTAGTTAATAAATTACACAATTTCTCCGCCAAGAGAGTGACTAAGTACTTATTCCATATGATTTCAGCAATAGGAGACAAATGACAGTCAGACTCAACAACTTAGAACCATTCAGCAACCCCTTGATTACTTATACAATGCTCTTCCTCCTTTGTTAAGTGGGCGGACATGGAAAACTTAAAAGGGATGCTTTCAAAGACTGCAAAGATTCATAAATACATATTATTTTCATTTTTAAGTTAGAACAGCATAATGATAAAATTATTTCATGTTATGTTAAGGAAATATACTGGTTTTCTCCTGCCAATCCACTTTTAAAAGAAATTTTATGAGGTGACTTACCCCATGATGGTCAAAGTGTAAATGAGTGATAAACACTCCTTTCAGGTTACGTAGAATATGTTGGGTTTTTTCCAGCCCATACATCTGATACATTTGTAGTAATGTTCCTTCACCACAGTCCATTAAAAAATACTCATCCTTCCTGTGAAAAAGAAACATAACACTAATTAGAAAACTAATTTTATGGGGTACCTTTGACTTAAATTACTTAGAACTTTGTAAGCATGATCAGAGATCGGGAAAGAATTTTTGCAGATGAGACTATGTCTCCACCTATTGGAAAACTTATGAGACATTTTTAAAAGTTATGAGACATTTTTCAAAACTAATGAGACATGTTTTTCATAATGATTATAAAGTACCGATAAAGGTCTAAAATGTGTATTTTGACTTTTCCAATCCATGACAAGTAAAATGTAGCTGCACATGTAAAAGACCCTGTATAAAACAAAGTTTTAAAAATTTATTTGGAAAAAAAACCATTTAATTTTAATTAAAATATGTATTCTGGACACATTCAATATTGTATCTGTTTCTCATGCAACATAGAATCACCCTGGAAAAAATAGCTACAATGTACTTGTTTGCCACTTCTTACTGGCCAATTTCAATTGGGTAAGTAGGTAGGTAGGAAATTTCATCAACAATTACAGACTTACCACTTGAATCAAAATAATTTGGTCCTATTTGAATGAACATTATGGTTTAATATACATACTAACATTATATGTGTTGTTGTTATTTTTTGGTGTATTTTTTGGTGTCAAGCAGTTTGCTTATTTGCTGAAGATAAATTAGGTAAAAAGAATCATCATTAAAATGAATCCAACATTTTATAAGTACCTTTCCATAACATATCAAGTAATATATGACGTAATGTGTAATTTGCACTGAATGGCTCCTAAGTAGCATTCATTGTTGTCTTTTTTTTTTATCAAAGGGACTCACAGCATTCAGAAGTCATGCAGTTCAGATATCTGATTGGCTAGTGACCTGTCAATTATTGTAGTGATGTAATAAACATCACTTCAGCTCATGTTTCACTTTGTTATTGTTAAGTTTTCAAAGGCAGGTTATCATTACCTAGATTTACCGCAGATTATTCTGTCAGTGCAACTATAAATAGTTACACATTTTTTTTTCTGTGGATAAAGTTTGAAGTTACCAAACATGATTTTAAACACAAAAAGGTTTGGATTATTTTTGTTAAGGAAGGAAGATACTAAAAAAATTAATGAACTTTTTAATCTAATATTTTTTTGGACTGACGGGTTTTGAATGTGTCTGACAGAAACGGCAAACAATGGAAGAATGGAAGCTAATGCTTTAATAACAACAAATGCATGGAAAATCTTAACTTTTGAAAATTATTTTGGACATTTAAAAACTGAATGCCTTGCTTTCGACAGAATATTACTGATATTTCAAACAGAAAAGCATAAAAAATTGACGGTGCTAACTCATAGCTATTGACTTGTACCACGTAGTGTTGGCAGATAACTGGCTTAAACTGGTTTAATGCAGATAATTAGTCCTGCCTACTGTACCTGTAGGCGGAGCAAAGAAATTTGTCACTTTGAAATTTATTTGATGCCGCTAATTGATTGACAAACAGTAAGACTTTCATGCTTTTGCTGAATTTCTTGCAGGTCAAATTTGCATGTCTCCTCATTGTTTATTTATGCAACCTAATGTCGTATCTGCAGGCTAATCAATGGGACTAAATAATTTTAATGCGACTATGTCGCAGGTCGCGGGACTTTCCCGATCTCTGCATGATAAAATTTTCAGCCTGTCTGTAAAAAGATTCTTAACAAGAGCAATCAGTGATGACATGTGACCTCATGACAGCCAATTGCATTTTGCAGATACCGTGTAGCAGGAGACACAAAATATCATTAACAGGCCAAAATTCATCTTTTATTCAAGGACCATAACTCCGTCAAAATATATAAATGTGTGAAAAACTCTATGTCCCAAACTGTTTTAGCAAATGCAAGTGAACTTAAGTACATGTGTGATGTGTATTATCCAATAGAATAGAGAGAACAAAGCAATGCTCCGCCCCTACTGTGATAGTGTATACGCTTCTCAGTTGATATTTAGACTGAACAGAATTGACCTCGAACTTGATTAGCCATTTAAATGAATATGTAAAATGTTTATTTCAAATGAAAAATAATCTACAGAAAGCATCCACACTTATGAAATTTTTAGTGTCAGGAAGAAAGAAAATCAGTACAGGAGTTTGAAAATGTTGGAAAAATGTCAAACATGTAGATCTACATGATGGATAAAAACTGATCAGAAAGTCATTTTCTTAACATCTATTTAAATTAGGGATGGCAACGAATACCAAAATCAATACTCGAGTACTCGGTCATTTTTCCGATCGAGTACTCGGTTACTCGGATGAATTTTATATGATCTTTAAAGTTTTATTATCACACAATATCAACACAGTCTGCATCCTACTTTCGTTTTCTATTTTAATTCATAGAATTCGTAACTATAAATAGGACTGCAAGAAACACATATATAAACATATGAAATGTCAATGACAGCATTTATTATATACCTACAATATTTCTCCCTAAAATACAGGATGAACTTAAAGCGCAAATACGCTTCAACGGATAGAAAATTCCGTATTATGTTAGCGACAAATACGGTACCATATATGGAAGTGCGGGACTATAGTTGACGTTGGTTCGGATCTTAGCTGTGTATAAACGTAGCATTTAGAAACGGAAACAAAAATTAAAAAATACGTGGCCGGTTTTGCAAAAATTACATATTCATCCGTCGGTCATAAATTTATTTCTTGACAGCTACATTTCATTTTCTGAAATTTCTTATAGAAGTGTAGTATAATGAAAATCATTTACAATTCAAACGAAAGTGTATATAATAAAAGGAAAAATATGTTGTAGTAGCTTTCTGAGCCTATGCATTTTTCTACGCGCAATGTTGGAAAATTGACCTTCGGTCTCGCGAGATATCATTTTTTCCACCGCTGCTCGTAGCAAAATACAAAGCTACAACATGATATTCCGTATACATTTACGTTTTTAAAATGAACAAGTTTCGGCTACAAACTGTCTAATATTTATAAAGGTGCTTAAATATCATAAGAGGCCGAATGACGTAAACGACACAGGACTGTGTTCAATCCCATACGCGTGTCAAACTGCTGATCGCCTCGTTAAATTTACGATATCATTTTCACACCTCTGCAAGGATGTTTTGATTGCATTTAACAAGTATTTATATGGATAATTGTACATTTCCGAATTTCTGAACTAATATTTTTAATTCGCAAAAAAGTAGAAATTAAATTTTTTTTCCCGAGTAATCGAATATCAATTTTGTTAACCGATATTCGGACGTTCGATCGAGTACTCGGTTAACCGGTTACTCGTTGCCATCCCTAATTTAAATTATCGGAAAGTTAAAATTATTAAACATTTATATAAATGTAGTTAAAAACTTCCCCACTGCAAAGGAAAGATTTTTGAGTTTTTCTCATGCTTTGTGTCTTAAGAGACTGTTGCATTAAGCGACCATTTTTTGTGTTTCCCTTGTGTGGTCGCTTAATACAGGTTTAAGTTGTAGTTATTTCAAGGAATGACAAAGTTATGGACCATACATAATAAAATTATAAATAAACTCTTATCTTTAATTTACTAATAATCTTTAAATGTGACTTACAGGGAGGATCTTGCTCGTGACACATCCACTTACATTTGTGCCAAATAATTCTGAATGACGACTTAAGACCACAAAGACAGTACACAACAACAAGACTTCCTTTTTGGCCTATTTTTTCTATGTATGACCATGACCTTTCAGGAATTGGCTTGTATCTTGTGTATAAAGCAGTATCTACCCTGAGACTCTCCTTCCCAAGCTTGAGTCAAACTGTTTATGATGTTAACAATGCCGGTGTTACAGTTTTGCAGACTTTCCTCACATCATACAGGTTTACATAAGGATACCATCTTTATTTTCAGCGAGATAATGGGTTAAAATGTTTTGATGATAAAAAGTATTTTACTCCAGAATATTAATCACTGAAAAGTTATAGTAGTATTCGTAGAAGGAATAATACCAACATACCTAATTTGTAAAAGAATACTGCTGGAATTCCTGAATGATGATGGCTTGCCACTGCCAGTGCCCAGAAACACAACCTCTGGATAATCTTTATCTGAATGAGACATTCAAAACTCATGCATAAATCGAGTGTCACCGTACTTAAAAATAATCAATGCTCTTCACTCAAATGCTGCTAGGAATTGCACTTACTATTGATTTTTGATTTAATTCTAAGAATATGTGTTTATTATCCTTTGTAGATTTTTCCATTTTATTTGCTTCACTTGGCTCTATGTAAAAAAATTCAATTTTAAAGTTTTAAGGCTTTTTGATACCAGTGGAGCTTTCAATGTCGACAAAACCATTCATCATTTTAAGGATTGTTTGTTTGTTTCATTTTATGCCTTTTTCCAACAGTATTTCAGTCATATAGGCAGGTAGTTTCCTAACCATCGTTCCTGGAGAGTGACACCAGTACTAGACTACCTTCCTCCGCGCTAAACTACCAAAGCATCTCCAGGGGATCGAACCTACGCCAGAGAGTAACTGGATTAGAAGTCATCGACACTAACCCCTCGACCCTGGAGGCAGTATCATTTTAAGGGAGGCAGTATCATTTTAAGGGAAAATTCCAAAACACGGACTGACTGAATAGCAACCAAAGTAGAACATGATCGGACGACATGGAAGTGCTGACAGATCTTGAACTGCACTGATTGCATTCATTAATTCCACTCAAAACTCTCGGATTTCAGAATTTAAATTAAAGTCATAGCTTAAAAGTGCATAAATGTCACCAGGCAAAGGACAAGGATCCCTCAAATTAGCAGGAAATGTATTTCTGATATAAAAGATTGAATAAATGACGCTCAAAAATTAAATAAATCATCTGAAAAATTTTAATTTAAAAAAAGAGAAAAATTTAGTTTAAAATATGACAAAGTGTTACCTTCAGTAAGGGCCTCTCTTGCATTGAGCTTTTTTTTCAAAAGATTTATTTCATTTTCAACATCTGAAACAGTCATATGTTTCAGGTTGATAGAATGTTTTTCATAATCTAAATATTTGATCACTTCAAGAGACTCATTCACGGCCTCCTCCTTCACGTTGTGGAAATATTCTTCAGCATCATAGTATGGCAAACTATCCCTACAAAAAGGGTAAAAAGCAATTCTAAGAATAAACTTTGTACAATACAATGACAGGACAGTGTTTTTTTTATTCTGGCCCATTTTGTTGATCAATGTTAGTTCATGTTCCCAAGTCCAACAAGGGTGCCATAGTCACAAATTACGCCCGTTTACGAAAGCTTTAGATGGAGATGGGCGCATTATGAATAAGTGTTATCTAGCAAGCAAGTTTTTATTCTTGGCACTGTGTTGTTAAATGAACCTTAAAACAAATCAGTAGGGAAGATATGCATGTAGGATGTGTGACCTTGACCTTGGTCGCAGGGACCTGAATTTTATGCACGGCACTCAGCCTCACAATGATGAACATTTGTGCCAAATTATATTGAAATACCTCTATGCATGTAGAAGTTTTGCTCCAGACAAGCGTTTTTTCTATGAGCTCTGTGACCTTCACCTTTGACCTAGAGACTTGGTTTCATGTGCAGGGCACTACGTCTCATGGTGGTGAACAATTCTATAAAGTAACATTAAAATTCCTCCATGCATGTAGAAAATATGCTCCGAAACATCTGGATATTTAATCATCTCTAGTGACCTTGACCTTGCAAATATTAACCTATATTAAATGTGTCACACCTGTAGTCATGATAGTTACCATTTGTGCTACAATCAATCAATAAATGATGACTAAATGGTCCCTATACACATCTTCAAATTTTTATCTGAACTTTGACCTCTATGTGTAACCTTGACTTTGGTCGCAGGGATCTGAATTTTGCGTGCGACACTCAGCCTCACAATGGTGAACATTTGTGCCAAGTTATATTGAAATCCCCCTATGAATGTAGAAGTTTTGCTCCGGACAAGCATTTTTCAATGAGCTCTAAGTGTGACCTTGACCTTTGACCTGGAGACCTGGATCATGCATGGAGCAATACATATCATGGTGGTGAACATTTCCATAAAGTATTATAAAAATTCTTCCATACATGTAGGAGATATGCTCCAGACAAAATCTGGATATTTCACCATCTTTAGTGACCTTGACCTTGCTTAAATAAAAAATGGGAATTTTTTCAATGTTTTAGACAAGTTGGGGAAAAACTGACAACATTTTTTATACATGAAATAAGGGAAATTAAGAAATCAAATATTTGGTTCATTTAACTCATTTCATATTTCAATCGTAAGCAAAAATTAGTTTGGATTGCAAGATTACAATGTTTTATGGCACAGTGCAGTTAAATGTAACAAAATGATAATAATTTTACTTATTTTATTTTTTGTTCCTTGAATTGGCCATTTTCTTCTTGGAATTCGGAGGGAATAAAAACATACTTTTTATACGCCTGTTTGAAAAACGGGACGTATTATGTCCGCCCCTGGCGGGCGGGCGGGCGGGCGGCGTCCAATTTTGTCTGGAGCATATCTCCTACATGTATAGGGATTTTAATGAAACTTCATAGAAATGTTCACCACTATGAGGAGCAGTGTCGCGCACATGAACCAGGTCTCTAGGTCAAAGGTCAAGGTCACACTGAGGGATTGTAACACAAATGGTCATTATCAAGACTATGGCTGTGATACATATAATTTAGGTCAATATATACAAGGTCAAGGCCACTAAAGATGATGGAATATCCAGATTTTGTCTGGAGCATATCTCCTACACGCATGGAGGGATTTCAATGAAATTTCATAGAAATGTTCACCATTATGAGAAGCCATGTCACGCACATGAACTAGGTCTCTAGGTCAAAGGTCAAGGTCACACTTAGAGCTCATTGAAAAACGCTTGTCCAGAGCAAAACTTCCACATGCATAGAGGGATTTCAATATAACTTGGCACAAATGTTCACCATTGTGAGGCGGAGTGTCGCGCACAAAATTCAGGTCCCTGCAGCCAAGGTCAAGGTCACACATAGAGGTCAAAGTTTAGATAAAAATATGAAGATGTGTATAGGGACGATTTAATCATCATTTATCTAGGGATTGTAACACAAATGGTCATTATCATGACTACGGCTGTGACACATGTACTTTAGGTCAATATAAGTTTTGTTCTCGGCTTTTACAAAAATACCATTCTATTTTTACCAAGTGGCCACTTCCTTACCTGTGAAACAAAAGCTGTAGACTGTAAGCAGTTCATTTAAAAGGCCAGCCATGTTTTTTTTCTGAGCACTTTGGGAACATGACATTTATTTTTTTTTTGGGGGGGGGGGAGTGGGGGGGGAGGTTGGTCATGTTCCCAAAGTGCTCAGAAAAAAAAACATGGCTGGCCTTTTAAATGAACTGCTTACAGTCTACAGCTTTTGTTTCACAGGTAAGGAAGTGGCCACTTGGTAAAAATAGAATGGTATTTTTGTAAAAGCCGAGAACAAAACTTGAGAAAATCTCTTAAACCAGTAAAGCTATTAACTTGAAAACTGAAACATATATACTAATATATGCATGTAATGAGTCCGAACCTGAGCTTTGCACATTATCACATTAAGGTTTACATTTGAGACAAGTAATTTCAATTTCCTTCCATCAGAAAAAAATTACAGCAGAGTATGAAATTACTGCAGACGAACAGATAACTAGAAGCTTAACATTATATAAAATGAGCCATAACTTAGTCTTTGTTTGTTTGTTTGTTTCATTTTACGCCTTTTCCCCAACAGTATTTCAGTCAAATAGGCGGGTAGTTTCCTAACCATCATTCCTGGAGAGTTACATCAGTACTAGACTACCTTCCTCTGCGCTAAACTACCAAATCATCTCCCGGGGATCGAACCCACGCCAGAGAGGTAACTGGATTAGAAGTCATCGCCTCTAACCCCTCGACCACCGAGGTGGTTTCATAATCATAACTTAGTCAAAAATGCGATGGAACATTATGAAACTTGGCCTACTGTGGGCTCTTGTGCCCCCTTCACATAAATCTTAAGTTTCAAGTTTATACCCTAACTGATTAAAAATATATGAGGTGGTATAAAATAATTGTATCAATATCTCTGCAGTATCAAGTAAAGTATTCAATAAATTAAAGATTTTCTGTAAACCATGGATTTATAAACTAAAATTCCTTCCATATTTACTTTTGAACCTGAACCTCTTTTTGGTGAAGTTGCTATTTAAATACAATATACTATTACCAATTAAAGCCCTCATCTTTTTCAGGTCTGATGGTATATTTTAGGCCAGGACATGCTTGTACTATTCTGCCTGTAGTAGGAGTAGGTCTCATATTGTAGTTATACTTTCCTTGCAGGACAGGAGATATTTGAGCATGTAAGCGATTCAGAACTGATTGAAACATTTGACTTTTATGTATATACGGACCCGGCGAGTCCTCGTTCATCATCAGGTGAGTAGTTTCAGACTGGAATCTAAAATAATAAAACAAACTATAAAACTTATGTTACAAAATATTTTTACAGCAATGGTGTTAGCAACAGAAAATGGAAAGAAAAAAAAGAGTCGAAAACCATGGTTTATTGTGCAGTTTATTCAGTTAATAATACAAAACTGTGTAATCCCATGTACTTATTGTATGATCAAAATTATTACAAGATACTATGTCTGCCCAGTTTGTTTGTCTGTCTGGTTTCTTTTGCAAACTTCAACACGATTTTAGTCATTTCTGGGTTTGGGTTTTTTATCCACTTAAACAGCTTCCATGGATGACTAGCCAGTGGTTACCAATTTCTCCGCAACTGACAGCCTACTAATCCAACATGAGCTTCAAACAAACATCATACTGAAAATTGCAGACATGCTTTAGATAGGTACTTATAAATTCACTCACCTGTCCATAAACGCCTGGTAGCCAGGATCAGTTATCAGAGCTGCTGGCGCCATATGTATCATTAACACAGGTTTAACATTATCTGTCTGCAGGTCTAACAACTGTTTGTTTGTTATCAAGGACTCAAGATAATCTTCTGTAGGACAATCCAACACTGAAAAATAAGAAACCAAACTCTGTCATTGTACCAAAATGTGTAATGGTTCAAAATTAATACTTGTTTTTAACTAAATCAAAAAAATTTGCCTGATGAAGAGTATTATATTACGCGAAACCTAGTTGCCAATAAAATCTTGAACCTTAACCAGGTGTTGTACGTGTGCTCCTCAGCTTTATTATCTTATTATTTTATAAATCAAATTAAGAATGAAAGCTATTTTATAAAAGATATTCTTAACATTTTTTCCTGTTTATTTCTTCACTCTTTATAAAATTGTAACAACATTATCTTTAATTCTTATGTAGAAATTGTGCAATACTTGAGATTAACAACTACCTACACCTTCCTACCTACTATGGGTCCTGCAGCAGTTTTATAATTAGTCATTACATCTTTAGGATGAATCTGAAATAAAATGAACAGTCACATATCTCTATTGCAGATGCTGCACTTTTTTTAAAAAAAAGTTTGGAATACATTAAAATTTGTAACAATTCATCAATAAATCATTTTTTCTGCATGTGTGAAATTTTAAATATTAGTTATACTTTAAAGGTCATATGGCGACTTTCCAATTTTACTTAAGCAGGAATAAGACCTCAGGTGCCCGTCCCTGCATTATTTCAGGCACAAGCAGAAACCTAAACAGAACCACAAATGGTTAGTAAGCTAGTTGAATAACTTTCTTGCAAGATTCGCACTCACAGCAGGATTTTACATGACACGATTTTCTGTGTTTGTTTGTTTGTTTGATTGCGTTTTACTTCACAATGACACAGTACAGGTCATATGGCAATGTTCCAGTTTTTATTGGTGAAGGAAGACCTCAGAAGCCCTTCTGTATATTAATTCAGGCATGAACGGGCACATGAGTAGCACCACATACATTCCATAAGCTAGCTGGATAGCTTCCTCGCATGAGAGAATCTAGAGTCCCTGGTGGTATTTAAACTCACAGCGGTACACAAAAATGTTCAAGCAGTCCGACAGATTATTCATCAAGTCTGCACCATAGAAAACAAGAAACATTTTGATTAATTTCTTAAATATGTATCCTTGGTTGCCGTATGAAAACAATTTGATATTTTGTGGTATTTCCTTGTCAATCAAATCAGTAGCCTAATTTCTGTGACCCATTTTAAAGACAGTTGCAGCTTAAAGCAAATATATACTCATACTTTCAGAGTTTTACATCACTAAGGAGTAATAAAAAGATAATTTCATAATTTCTTACAACTCGTCCATCTTCTAGTGTCACACTTTTACCACTCACAAGCTGTTTTATCCATGGACCACTGTAAAGAATAATATAATTCTGTGATATTTAAATCCACTTAACAAGTTTTTTTTAGATTACTGTTCTCCAAAATACTATAAAATTCTCCTCAATAGAGACCTTTAGGATATTATATAAGAGTTCAGAAAGTTGAAAGGTGAGTAGTGGAGAGAGACTTAATAAAAGGTTCAACTTGACACTTAAAATTTTTTCCATCAAAATGGCTGGGCTTTTAGAACTTCACTTACTAGAAGCCGAAAGTGATTAGTGTTTTCCGCTAGTAAATTTATATTCTCATAACTAATGCAATCACAGATTGCAATTCAAATATCTGTTTGTAAGGTTGAATGTATATCATTATTAATCAATAATAGCAACCAATTATTTCCCCATAAAAAAGCAAACTAATGTGGTAAAACAAATGGAAATGATAGCCCTTAAACCATTCACCTGAGGGACATTCAAATTAAAAGAGTGATATACTACAAATGAGCCGCGTCATGACATAACCAACATAGTGCGTTTGCGACCAGCATGGATCCAGACCAGCCTGCCAACCGCGCAGTCTGATCAGGATCCATGCTGTTCGCTTACAAACACTATAACAAGTAGAGAAACTGATAGCAAACAGCATGGATCCTGATCAGACTGCGCGGATGCGCAGGCTGGTCTGGATCCATGCATTATGTTGGTTTTGTCATGACACAGCTCAAATTTCAGTTATAAAGTCATTCTCGTATAATCCTCAACATGTTGAATTTGTGTGATAGAGGTGTACAGCTTACATTTTTGTGGCTGTCCTATATCAATTTTGAGGACATCGTAACAGAAGCTATTTAGCCAACAGTATAGAGTCTGGTCAGACTGCAAGGAAGTGCTGACTGGCCCGGCTCTTTTACTGTAGGCTAAGGCTGATTTACCTTCACTTCCAGCAGGTTAAGGGACTTAGTTATCAAAACACAAAATAACAAGATTTACTTACCTGCTAATGTTTAGCTTTAACATCTTACTAATATCAACATTGGTTGAAAGATTTGCCAGCTGTAGAAAAGAATATGTGAAAAATATAAAAAATATTTGCATTTAAGGGCAAAACAGTTGATCAGTAGAATTAGGAATACCTTAACTCCTTACCAAAATGACTTTAAGAAAAATATCTAACAATTTTGTATTCTCACAATCATTGCCTGAACAATGTCAAAACAAATTATCATTATCCAACATGAAATTATCAAATTATGTATACAATGTCATAATTCAATAAACAAATTCATTTGACATGTCATTACCTTATTATCAAATTTATATGAACAATGTCATAATCTAATTATCATATTCATATGAACAATGTTATAATCTAATTATCATACTCATATGAACAATGTTATAATCTAATTATCATATTCATATGAACAATGTCATAATCTAATTATCATATTCATATGAACAATGTCATAATCTAATTATCATATTCATATGAACAATGTTATAATCTAATTATCATATTCATATGAACAATGTCATAATCTAATTATCATATTCATATGAACAATGTCATGAGCTAATAATCTTATTCATATGAACAATGTCATAATCTAATTATCATACTCATATGAACAATGTCATAATCTAATAATCATATTCATATGAACAATGTCATAATCTAACAAGCAATTATCATAGTATTGCAAGCAATCCATAAGTCCCCTACCGGTTAGAATCCCAGCAACATTCTGATGAGCCATTGGCCATTCAATTTTACCAGTGAATGAATGACATGAATGAACTTAAATCTTTTGAGTTTTAAGTTTGTCTATATCACAGTAATGTGTTAAGTTTCCCAACCTAGTAAGGAAATTATGTTTATACAACAGATAATCAAAAGGTCCAATTTTCTCAGGATGAATAAGAATAACTTATGTTTCAACTTTTCTCTATTTTAAGTAAATTTGTTGGAAAAAATCTTTAAAAGTGATCTCAGGAAACAGTTTTTATGAACAGACAGACAGACATACATACAGACAGACTGAAGGAGACTCTTAAGGAATTTTTTCAAACATCCCTGTTACCAAAATATAACATATTTTAATGCAAAATTCTTAAAGAGAAGATAATTCTTGAAATAAGGATGCTAGATTTCTGAACATTGTATTATATGATGTGAGTTTTACTTTAAGTTTAAAGATATCATTTATGGTCACAAAGAAGATAAGTAAAAAAAAAATAGCAATTTTCAAATATAGCATTAACTTTAATGTTTAGTAAGTAACAAAGATGAAAATTAAAAAAGAAATATAATGTAGGAGTTGATAATGAATGTTTATTTTGAATTTGAAGAAAATCCATGAAGAAAAAATTAGAAAGTTAAAGAATGAATAAGAAAAATTCAAAGTTTAAGGAGGAGATAATTCTGGAAATATGGATTCTAGATTTATAAACCTTGTCATATTATTATGATGTGGGATTTAAAAGTAAATCCTATAAGGACTGAAGAAGTTGGAGTAAAAAATACCAATTTCTCGAAAAAAATCTAAGTTTAAGGGGGACATAATTCCGGAAATAGTCTTGCTAGAGTGTTTAACCTTCTCAAAAATGTTGAGTGATAATAAGAAACATATATATGAAGTTTGAAGTAGAAACATTGAGAAATAAAGAAGTTATTTAAAAAAGACAACATTTTTTTCATAAAAATTCTAAGTTCAAGGGAGGTAATTCTGAAAAGTTTTGTGCTAGAGTTGTAATCCTTGTCACATATGATGTGGTTGATGACCAGAAACTTATATTTAAAGTTTGAAGAGAACATCTTAAAAAATGAAGAACTTATAGTGAAAAAGCTTAAAAATTTAAATCAGAAATCTTGAAATTCAGTTTTTTTGTTGCCATAGCAACCAGAATTTTCAACATAGGAAGAAAAGAAAAAGATGTGCATAATCTCAAGACTGCCATCTACCCATATTTCAAGTTTCATAAAGATATTTTCAGTACTTTTTGAGTTATCACTGAAATTCCAGGCTGTCAACCAGGTCTTATCCAAAATAAAGGAGGAATATAGGAATATTTTAGCTGGAAATATAGGAGTTTTTGGACCATTTTGAGGCAAAAAATAGGAGTTTTCAACTTTAATTGTTTAACTTACAATACCAATGCTTATATAAATGTAAATTATTCTTACCTTTACACATACTGTTTCTACAATAAAATGTCTACTAGGGTTTCTTAATCAGACAAAAATCATAATTGATCATCGAAAATAATCGAACATTCTTTTTCAATCATTGATTATATAATCGAAATATTTACAATAACAAAGTAAATATGTACAATGTGCATATCATACTTTAATATTTATAAGAATTCCATTCATATTCTATATTTTGTGTAACTACCACTTAATTAACTGAAATAAACTAGTTACTCATGCCATTTCATCTTTGAGTAAAATATTTAAATCAAATAAATTCATTACATCTATGAAATTATTATGTCTCAATTCGAATAAAGGAATGAATAAACTATGTATGGGAACAAGAGAAGTTGGTCATTTCTTAACAAAACTGCCAGTTTTTTTTTAATGACACTATATATTGATATTGTAACCATCTGTAGTTTGTAGAATTTTATACACAACATTTCTTCTTTGTTTGAAGTCAAAACATGTTTATTTCATATTTACAAATAGACTGTGAATCAATTTTCTAATGTCAAATTGGAGCATAGTAAGTCTTTAAACTAGAATGCCTCACTGTCAGTTATTAACCTCATGGTCACCAGTATGCTTTCCCATTCATTTTAATGAAAATTATTGGGTCAATCAAAGCTGGCTTTAATTTAAAGTGTTGTTATAATACAGTGAGTCACTTAAGTAACAGCAAGAAGATAAATTACCGATAATCGATTATTGAACTTTGTATTTGATCATCGCCGATCGGTCCTATAAACGATCAATTATACTCGATCATCAATTAATCCCTAATGTCTACCGTATAAGTGAAGGAAACTATTAGCTTTGAACCACAGCATCAGCATCCTGGCAGAAAGTTACAGCAATGCATGACCATCATCTGAATGGTCACCTGAAATAAAGTTTGACATACTGATGCACTGCTTTTCATGGTGACCATGCAGATGACTATGAGGAGCACAGCAGCCTTGAGCATAGTAATGTGATGCTGATGCAGGCATTGACATTCTCTTACCTGTAAAATACAAAAGGCCAAAAGCAGTACCAAAATTTAAATCTCTTTGAATTCCTCGGCAATATATTTTTTAAAAAATATAGGAAAAATATTCAAAATATAGGAGAATATAGGAAAAATAGGAGGTTTTTTAAAATATAGGATTCCGACCCAAAATATAGGAGTTTTATAGGAATATAGGAATTGGTTGACAGCCTGAAATTCTAAGTTCAAGGGAGGTAATTTTGATAATTTTTGTGCTAGAAATGTAAACCTTGTCACATATGATGTGGTTGATGACCAGAAACTTATATTTAAAGTTTGAAGTTAACACCTTAAGAAATAAGAACTTATAGTGAAAAAGCTTAAAAATTTAAATCAGAAACCTTGAAATTCAGTTTTTTTTTGTTGCCATAGCAACCAGAATTTTCAACATAGGCAGAAAAGAAAAAGATGTGCATAATCTCCAGACTGACATCTACTCATATTTCAAGTTTCATAAAAATATTTTCAGTACTTTTTGAGTTATCACTGGATCCAGTTTATTTGTTAAATTTGCGATATTTTCAGACTATTTGTTGCCATAGCAACCAGAATTTTCAAAATAGAAAGAAAAGTAAAACACATGCCTAATCTCCATACTGCCATCTATCTATATATCAAGTTTCATAAAATATTTTCAGTACTTTTTGAGTTATCACTGGATCCAGTTTATTTGTTAAATTTGCGATATTTTCAGACTATTTGTTGCCATAGCAACCAGAATTTTCAAAATAGAAAGAAAAGTAAAACACATGCCTAATCTCCATACTGCCATCTATCTATATATCAAGTTTCATAAAATATTTTCAGTACTTTTTGTGTTATTGCGGGATCCAGTTTTGTGGACGGACAGACTGACAGACAGATGGACGGAGGGTAAACCTAAAGTCCCCTCCGGTTAAACCGGTAGGGAACTAATAATCATATTCATATGAACAATGTCATGAACAATGTCATAATACTATTATCATATTTGTTTGCAAAACCATGTCATAATTATCTTTTGGAACAATGTCATAATCTAATTACCATATTCATATGAAGAATAATAACCTAATTATCCTATTTATATGAACAATGTCATAATACTATTATCATATTTGTTTGCAAAATCATGTCATAATTATCTATTGGAAAAGGTATAAAAAACACAGCTACACATGGTGTGAACACTTGTCTGTTAACATAACCACTTTTGACAGTTAAAAAGGGGCATAGCTCAAAAATATAGCTTTCAGAATTATGACCCTTGTCACTGCACCTTATCAAGATAAGCAAGTTTTACATGTATTATACTGATAACTTTCAAAATGTTTGCATAAAAGGCTACATTATGATTAAAAGTTTAATGAATGAAAATAATATTTCATAACTAAATGGAATTATCAACAGGAATACATTCTGTCTTATGTAAATTTTGCTTCTTTAGGAGGAGCAAGTAAATAAAATGTAACAAAATTCGAGAAATTTTACATGACATCATGAAGAAGAACACATGACGCTATGTGGCAAAACAAGTAAAAATGACTTAAAATCACTAAAAAAAATGAAATAAATAGAAACTTTGTTTGTTTTACATGCAAGATAGAAATATATTTCACTCATGAACACCAGCTTTGCCACTCATAAAAATATTACTGGTGTTCGTCACTCGTAAAAATATTACAACTTGTGTCCACTGAGTGAAATATGTTCTGATCTTACATGCAAAAAACCAACAAAATATTCTCTATATAACATCTTGTTGTTTTTTTCTTAGAAAAAGACAAGCTAACAATATCTACAGTATTGGTATATGATTTACTTACCTTTATTATATAGCACATCACCGTTTTCTTCCCGTTTAATGCAGTTTCATAAATCCCATTTGATCCTACATAGGAAGTACATGAAAAGAATTGTGAAAAAAGTTACAAATTACCACCTAAAAATACATTCTAGAAACACAAGACAATATTTCCCTCTAAAAAAGATTGACCTCTCTAAACCATAACAATGTACAGAATAATGAAAACTAGAACTATCACTAAATGTGATTAATACCCCCACAAGACTGCGTCGGAAATGAGGATGTTACTAGTAACAGAATACCTTGTAAAAGAATTGAAATATAGAGTTATGGTTGTGGGCAATTACAGATAGTTGTGGTTCTTATATGTTGCATTTCCTTTCAATGTGGTTGGCCATTGATGAAGTTTAATTGAATTACTCTGTTATAAGTCCAGAAATACAAAGAAAAGGAACAAAGGGCAATAACTCCATAAATACTGAAGATAGAATTATCGTTCTTGTGCACTGCACTTCCTCTTATTGTGCTTGGCCATTGTATGAAGTTGTTTTGAATTCCAACCAGTACGTTTTAAGTTATGCTCCTGACAAGGAAAAGTATCAAAGGGCAGTAACTCTGTATTTTGTCAAAATGGAGTTATGGCTCTTGTGCACTGCACTTCCTTTTAATGTCCTTGACAACTGTATGAAGTTGTATTGAATTCCAAACAGTAGTTTTCAAGTTATGCCCCGGACAAGGAAAAGTAACAAAGGGCAATAACTCTGTAATTAGTCAAGATGTAGTTATGGTTCTTGTGCACTGCACTTTCTCTCAATGTGCTTGACCATTGTATGAAGTTATATTGAATTCCAACCATTAGTCTTCAAGTTATGAACCGGACAAAAAAGGCAATGGAAAAGTAACAAAGGACAATAACTCTGTAATTACTTTAGATAGAGTTATGGTTCTTGTGCACTGCACTTCCCCTTATTGTGTTTGACAATTGTATGAAGTTGTTTTGAATTCCAACCATTAGTCTTCCAGTTATGGTCCGGACAAAAAAATCAATGGAAAAGTAACAAAGGGCAATAACTCTGTAATTACTTTTGATAGAGTTATGGTTCTTGTGCACTGCACTTCCCCTTATTGTGTATGACAATTGTATGAAGTTGTTTTGAATTCCAACCAGTAGTTTTCAAGTTATGCCCCGGACAAGGAAAAGTAACAAACGGCAATAACTCTGTAATTAGTCAAGATAGAGTTATGGTTCTTGTGCACTGCACTTCCTCTCAATGTGCTTGACCATTGTATGTAGTTATATTGAATTCAAACTATTAGTCTTCAAGTTATGGTCCGGACAAAAAAAAAGTAATGGAAAAGTAACAAAGGGCAATAACTCTGTAATTACTTTAGATAGAGTTATGGTTCTTGTGCACTGCACTTCCCCTTAATGTGTTTGACAATTGTATGAAGTTGTTTTGAATTCCAACCAGTAGTTATGCCCGGACAAGGAAAAGTAACAAAGGGCAATAACTCTGTAATTAGTCAAGATAGAGTTATGGTTCTTGTGCACTGCACTTCCTCTCAATGTGCTTGACCATTGTATGTAGCTATATCGAATTACAACCATTAGTCTTCAAGTTATGCTCCGGACAAGGAAAATGCAACGGACGTCTGGACCGACCGACCAACCACCGGGTGACTCCTATATACCCCCCCAAACTTCGTTTTTGGGGGTATAATGAATGTTTAATGACACAATACATGATGTCAGATATCCGAGACTTCAACAAACCAAATAACATCAAGAAAAAAAAATCAATTTCCAATCAATGAGTTTCAACAAATATCTATATTGATTTTCTTTCTATTCAGCATGTTAGAATAGAAAAGGAAATCATTTTTTTTATCATACATAATCGCCCTTCAATTCATTCTTGTCTTACAATCTCTATTCACCCATGATTTATGTATGTGCTCACCTAAACTCAGTCTCTACAGTATTCTACAAGAACACACAAAGTTTATTTTTTTCTTCCAAAATTAAGCTTCATGCAGATCTCAATTTTTAGTTGGCAAGTATAACAAAAATTGTTTAAAGCACATGTTCTTATATCTTAGTTTTAACAAAGGATATTGACTTGAGCAAAATATTGACAAAATATTCTCAAAATAACTTAAAAATCCACAACAAGAGAGCCAACAACATAATTTCCTTGTAAAAACATATTCAAATTTCATATATGACCTTGATGGTTAAGGTCATTTAAAGGTCAAGGTCATATTTGAATTAATTACCTAGTCAATTCTGTCTAAGGTTTTTTTTGTTCAAGAATTAATCAAATCCATAAATAAATAAAGTTATGACAATTTACGCAAATTTTAATAATTTGACCTTGACGTTAAAGGTTAAAGTCATATAAGATTAATGCAACGGGGTTTTATCATAAGGGTTTTTTTGTCCAAGTATAAATCAAAGCTGTCAAAGAATAATAAAGTAATGACATTTCAATCTAAGCTAAATTCAATATCTGACCTTGACATACAAGGTCATTTATAGATCAATAAGAATTACTTAACATGTCAGTTATATTTTGAGTGTTCTCTTGTCTTAGTTTAATGGGAATCTATAATAAATAACAAGTAATGACCTGTGTAGAAAAATTCACTTATCTGACCTTCAGTGTCAAGGTCAAAAAAGGTCATGGTCAAGTTAATTACATCATCTTTAATATCTTGTTCCAAGGATTATGGTGCAAAAGTATGAAGGTAATCCATTCAATAATTACAATTATAGCCAATTATAGTAAAAAACTGAAATTCCAATAATTTGACCTTCAAGTTCATTTATAGGTCAAGGTCAAATTGAGATTGATCTTCTTTAAGACATTATCCTTAAGGTAGTTGTGCTCAATTATGAAGACAATCCATTCATTAATAACAATGTTAAGCCAATTTTAGCAAATATCAAGTAAAATTCTTTGAACTGACGATCAATGAAAAGGTCACGGATTAGTGCAGGTAAAAATCAATTTAGTATGATCTTGAAGGTCTTGTCCAAAAGGATTTTTGATTCCAAGTATGAAGTAAATCCATTCATAACTAACAAAGTTATAGCCAATCATAGCAAAAGTCAAGTAAAACTTAATGGAACCATTTTAACAACATGGGGACAACCCAAGGATCATTCCTATAAAGTTTGGTTACTGTGCAGTCATTGGTTTCAGAGGAGATCTTGTTTAAAGTAATTATTGACGACACACCACGATGCACGACGGACATTGGGTGGTCACAATAGCTCACCATGAGCACGTTGCGCTCAGGTGTGCTAAAAATAATGGCTACTGTTGAAGTTGGTTGACTTCAATGGCAATGTGTACGTAGCATTAACTGGAAATTTCTCTTAAAAAAAAGCTGAGCTAATTAAAACTATGAAATACCTTCAATTTCATTAAAAACTTTCTTCTTAAATGCCCAGCTATCATAAAGCTGTGGTGTCTTTCCATCACATGCAGCATGAAGTAGTTCAACATATTCAACAGTTAATTGATCATCTTTAAACTTTACATCTTTTATACCACGCTGCTCTGTAACAAAGAACCTTCATAAAACAACACATTAAATTCTTATATCTTAGGCTTAAAGCCGCACGCCTCCAGATTCATGTTTATTTTCATAAAAATTTTGGAAATGTATTTAAAAGTAAAATAATTAAGGTGAACAAATAAAGTAATTTACATATTACAATCCAAGAAAAATCCAACATATGCAAAAACAGCCCTAACTAACGCAGTAGAAATATGGTGATAAAATACTGCAAAATCGGTCATAAACCGCTTAAAACATGTAAAATATAACTTGGATTTAGAATGATTTTACCATTCTTAAAAATTTAGTACATTTTTCTCAATATTGATTTTCTTGAAATATTTTGGCTCATCTTGAGGTGTGCTGCTTTAATATTCTTGTATACTTTTTTCTATTGTTATGAAGGTGAACAAGAGCACCATAAAGTGGGGAAGGCAAAGGGGAATATACACGGAATGCAAATTTGTTTACGTAATCAAAAATAATCAGAGATTCTTTCAATAAACTTGTCTAGAACGTATTTTATATTCATCATAATTATGATACTAAGTGACCACCATGTGATCAAAAGTGTAAGATTATTTTATATAAATTTTGTTCAGATCTAATTCATTGATACATGCCAAGTTACTAAGCCACTAGGCGACTTAGAAGAGACAATCAAAATGCTGTGTTTACAAATTATTTTCTTTTTTATTACTTCCCTTTATTTAATCAGACAATTCACCTTATCTTCATGTTTTGTACAAAAACGTAATAATTCCCCCTCCCCCCCCAAAAAAAAAACAAAGCAGAGCCATGGGGCATGGTCTATATTGACCCCAGGAGCATGATTTATATAACTATTGCAGAAGTCCATATGGCAATGCTTCATGCCAAACATTAAATATTTTCAGGTGAACTCCTATTTATTCTTATTAAAATTATAACTATTTTTGTTGACCGATAAAATTTCCCATTTCCTTCCCTACCTGACAACATCATTGAGTTTTGATCAGAGCTGTTTTAATGTAATTTTAGCATAATAATGACCGACCTGTGATTAATTTGTGAAAATATTTCTATGTAAATAACCCATAATTTTCAGTAAACTTACCACAAGTAGGAAAAAAATTCCGTTTCTTATCTGAGGCAATCACCAGCATAGCCTTGACTTTTTCCTGTAGAAAAGAAAACACAATAATTAATAACATACAGCCATTTAATCACTAGCTCACAAAAAAAATTCAAATTTTTGTTAAATATCAGCAGCAATAGATTAAATGTCTTTTTTTTTAAAAGCTGATTTTTTACTGTTGCACCAACATTGTAAAGGCTGTATTGTGACTTTCCAGCTTTAGTGGTGGAGGAAGACCTCAAGTGCTCCTCCGTACATTATCACCTGCAGGCACCTTACTAGAGCTACCGTCTTTCCAAGCTAGCTTGATAGCTAGTTTCCCTGCATGAAAGAAGCCAAAGTCTGTAGCAGGACTCGCACCCAGAGCCATGAAGGGATCAACTGAGCCGCGTCACGACAAAACCAACATAATGGGTTTGCGACCAGCATGGATCCAGACCAGCCTGCGCATCCGCACAGTCTGATCAGGATCCATGCTGTTCGCTATCAGTTCCTCTACTTGTTATAGGGTTTGTAAGCGAACAGCATTGATCCTGATCAGACTGCGCGGATGTGCAGGCTGGTCTGGATCCATGCTGGTCGCAAACCCATTATGTTGGTTTTGTCGTGACGCAGCTCAACTATGTTCAAATCAAGACTACAACTTTTAATAAAGGAGATAAATACTCCCTAGCCAGTGCTTTAATGCAGAATGGCATTCGGAACATCCTCCGCTATCATAATAACCTCCGATTGAATACGTATTGAAAGTAGTTCAACCACATGGATTTAGATGTAAACAAAGACAGAGGGTGTAATTTTTAATAATGTATAACAATTGTATGTATGTATTTGACATCCACAAGAAAATTATTTTGTAGCGTCGCTATTTCCTCTACTTGTTACTAGGGTTTGTACGCGACACAGCATTGATTCCTGCATCAGACTGCGCGCATGCGTAATTGATGTACAATTATAACTAAATCCAACAGGTAGACATTTTGTACTTTAGGTTTCTACAACCAAAATAATAAGAATATAAATAATGTACTGTACTGTTTACTGTTATATCTGTAAATTTACTTAATAATAATACAGGCGGACTTTTATTTGATATATTGGTATAAATTTAGTCTTCAACTACTAGCAATAAATTACTTAACTATTCATTTGTTCTAAGTTTCTTAGCGTTAGACTGAAATACCATACTAATTCTGTGTATTCTTACTATTGTGTTTGAGGTCCTTGCCCGAAGACTGACAGAAAGGGCCAAAAGGTTGCGATTGGCAGAATGGAGGGCAAGTATTTCTTTATTTTCATTTTTATATATTTTTTGAAGTATTAAAGTTGTAAACCAATTATCTGTTCATGGTTTGCATATAAAAATAAATAAGGAAGTTGTCATGAGCGGGAATTAATATATATAGAAATGTCTCAAGAAAAAAGTGAGCTTCATGCGCAGTTGGGATTCCAACAGAGCCAGGATCTTTGGATTGACTGTCTGGTAGGATCATCCATTCATTACCATAGTCATGAGGGATTTTTAACTGTCCATAGATCTTTCAGATTAATGTAATTAATGCATAGAATATACTTGCCACAAATGATGGTCCATGACAACGAAGCACTTCTTTAGTGGGATTCGTAGACATAGAAGAATGAATGAAAAAAGCTGAAAATGTAAAATTATATCGGCATTTTACTTACAACCAGTCACATATATCCTTTTGGTTAAAAAAATGTTCACAAACTTTAAACCTGTTTCTGATGTGTTGTACTTCTTTTTCTTCATTACAAGTGTAGTTTTGAATTGTTTCTTTGGCAGGGAATTAAAAATGAGGATTTTATGTGTGAACTAAGTTTTTCCTCGAGGAACTTGATTAACTTCTACAAATACAAATGGAGATCATTTAACCTAAAAATGATATTTTTTATTTGGGTTTTATGTTGCAGCAACACAGTAAAGGTCATATGGTGACTTTCCAGCTTTACTGGTGGAGGAAGACCCTAGGTGCCCCTCTGTCCATTATTTCAGGCACAATCAGGCACTTGAGAAGAACCACCCATGTCCAGAAAGCTCGCTAGATAGCTTTCTCACATGAGAGAATCTGAAGAAGCTCGAACCTACAGCAGTAAGAGGAAGTGGTTTAAAATCCAAAACCTTAATCACTTGGCCACGGATGCCCTATGTTAGTTAAATTGCTTTCAGAAATAATAGGACCTTTTATCTGGATAAAGACTAATCAATTTTAATAAGTACCAATTTAATATGACTTCATTAAAATGCGCAATCTGCAAAAAATATGTGCAAATCGCGCAAATGCAACACTGCAGGTGTGTAATTAAACAAGAGGGCCATGATGGCCCTAGATCGCTCACCTGAATTATCAAACTCATCCAAACAATTACCTAGACAAGCATTCTGACCAAGTCTCATGACAGGTGAGTCAAAAATGTGACCACTACAGTGTTAACAAGGATTATCCATATTTGAGCAGTGCGACCTAGTTTTTTACCCAGGTGACACATATTCAAACTTGACCTAGAAATCATCAAAACAAACTTTCAGACCAAATTTCCAGGATACTTGGATCAAAACAGTAGCAACTAGAGTGTTAACAAGATTTTTCTATTTTTAGCTCTGCGTGACCTAGTTTCACATGCGATTTCGAACTCATCCAAGCAAATTACCTAGACAAGCATTCTGACCAAGTTTGATGATAATGGAGTCGAAAATGTGACCACTAGAATGTTAACAAAGGTTTTTCCGATATTTTTGGGCGGTGTGACCTAGTTTTTCATCCAAGATGACCCATGTTCGATCTTGACTTAGAAATCATCAAAAACAAACTTTCAGACCAATTAACAGAATATTTGGAATCACAACAGTAGCCACTAGAGTGTTAACAAGATTTTTCTATTTTAGCTCCTGTGACCTAGTTTTTCATCCGAGATGTCCCATGTTCGATTTATTCCCAGCAATGACCTAGACAAGTTTCCTGACCAAGTTTGATGACAATTGAGTCAAAATTGTGACCACTAGAGGTGTTAACAAGGTTTTTCTATTTTTAGCTCCTGTGACCTAGTTTTTCATCCGAGATGACCCGATGTTCGAACTCATCGAGTTATTAACCTAGACAAGCATCTTGATCAAGTTTGATGATGATTGATGCAAAAATGTGACCGCTAAAGTTGTTAACAAGGTTTTTCTATTTTTGCTCCGTGACCTACTTTTTCATCCGAGGATGACCCATGTTCGAACTCATCCAAGCTATCAACTAGATAAGATCCTGACCAAGTTTTGATGATGATTGATGCAAAAAATGTGACCGCTAGAGTGTTAACAAGGTTTTTCTATTTATAGCTCCGTGACCTAGTTTTTCATCCGAGATGACCATGTTCGAAACTCATCCAAGCAATTGACTAGACAAGCATTCTGACCAAGTTTGATGCATGATTGGCTTCAAAAATGTGACCACTAGAGTGTTCACAAGGTTTTTCTATTTATAGCTCCTGTGACCTACTTTTTCATCCGAGATGACCCCCATGTTCGAACTCATCCGAGCTATCACCTAGACAAACATCCTGACCAAGTTTTTGATTAAGATTGGGTCAAAAATGTGACCTCTAGAGTGTTCACAAGGTTTTTCTATTTTTAGCTCTTGTGACCTAGTTTTTCATCGAGATAACCCGATGTTCGAACTCATCCGAGCTTTCAACTAGATAAGCATCCTGACCAAGTTTGATGATGATTGAGGCAAAAATGCAACCGCTAGAGTGTTCACAAGCAATGTGTGGACGGCCAGACGGACGACGGACGACGGACGACGGACATCACCGATCCTAAAAGGGCTCACCCTGAGCAAGCTCAGGTGAGCTAAAAATAAAACACTTACCAAAAAATG